CTGAAAATGGGATCATTTCTCGCATTTTCTGAATATAATTAAATAACAGAGTAATTTTGTATAATAAACCGAATATTTTATCTCTTTTGTCATTTTCATTAGAATAAACAATTAATCGAAAAATTGCACTATCTGCCGAAAACATTAACTTCTGTCATTTTCAATGGTTGAATCAATTAAGGAAGTAAATTCACATGTTATACCGAAAATGTTACCTTTTCAGTTATTCTCAATCAGAAAAAGAATAAACAAAAAACTAACATGACATGCTGAAAATGTTACCTTTTATGTCATTTTCAATTGTAGTATAAATTAACAAAGTAAATTATTACGATATGCCGAAATTGATATCGTTTTTGTTATTTTCAATGTTAGAATAAAAGGAAAACTATAAGTTGCATGATATGCTGTAATTTTTTTTATCTTTTCCGTCATTTATTATTGCTGAATAAATTAACAAAGTAAGGTAGCATGTTATACCGAAAATGTTTACTTTTCTCTCAATTTCTATTTAGAATCAAATAAGAAAGTAAAGTAACACTTTATGCCGAAAATGTTAAATTTTTTGTCATTTTTATTACTAGAAACAAATAATAACGTAATATCGCATAGTATGCCTAAAATATCTTATATTATCAAACATTATCTTTCTATATTTCTGAGATGAGGTATTATGTACACTGTTTACATTGCTCGGACTATCATCCTCATCTTTATTACAACGTATCAAGGACACATGGCACAGTGGATAAAGGCGTTAGTTAGATCCAGTGACAGGACCCAAAGTGTGTGAGTTCAATAGCTGGTTAAGGCGATGGAGAACTTGGAAAGGGGAATTAACAGGAGATAACTGATAACGGACATCCATTAGACATGGCATATGGAACTAGAACAGTCTAACCCAGTGATCGAAATAAAGGGTTCAGTTCGACATTCCAACCACCTGAAGAAGGGCGGAGCGTATAACGGCCGAAACGTTGTGATAAATGTGGCAACAAAGATGAGGATGTTAGTCCGAGCAATGTAAATAGTGCAATATTATCTTATTATCACATTTTCTATGTAGGATGAAGTAACAAAATAATGTCACACGATATGCCGTAAATGGTTCCTTTTCTGTCATTTTCAATGCCGTGATTCAATTAACGAAGACTAATAGCACGATATGCCGAAGTTTTATCTTTTCTGTCATTTTGAATGGTAGACACAATTACATGATATTCACAAAAACGTTATCTTTTCTCTCAATTTCTATTGTATAATCTATTAACGAAATAATATCCCCAAGAACACATGGCTCAGTGGATAAAAGTGTTGGTTGCGTAATCTAAAAAGTGACTTGATACAGAGGGAACAAAAACTTGGTAAGTTGAGTTACTAAAGGGAGTTAACTGAAATTGAGATATCCAAAAAAGGCATGACACGTGGAATTAGAACTATCTACCCCCGTGGACTAAATAAAGGTTTCGGTTCGAAATGCCAATGCATAATGTCTGAAGAAGGCCAGATCGCCGTGAATGTGACATTAAAGATGAGGGCAACAGTGTAAATAATTACAATACCTCATTTCAGAAATATAGACTAATATCACATGATATGCCGAAAAAATATCTATGTCGTTTTCAATGATAAAATCAATTAATAAGTTAAAGGAACACAATATGCCAAAAAATATTATTATAATTTCTGTCATTTTCTATACAATTAACAAAATGAAATCACAGGAGAAGCTGAAAATGTTATATTTTCAGTTATTTTCAATGCTAAATCAATGTGACACTGATGCCATAAGGTGGTTAAATGTTGATTCTAAGAAGAAAAGTGTTAAGTCCAATATGGAATATAGGCTGAATATATATATATATATATATATATATATATATATATATATATATATATATATATATATATATAAAAAGAAAGAACAGTAAGATATAAAATCCGGTGTTCTTATAGATATTTTTATTTTTACTCCAAAATTCGCTTGAAGATAAATGGAACTAATGCTTTTAATTTAATTGCAAAATTAAATTCGGGGCTTTTAGCTTCTATTTTTGAAACATGCTTAGAACTGTGTAGCGGAAAAAAACATATTTTAAATCAATATATATATATATATATATATATAAATAAAATAAAAAATAAAATAAAAGTATTTTGGCGATTTCGGCTAATCATATATTAATTCGTCGAGCCTAGAATAATCCTTAGCAAAATGCACTGGACTGCTGTTTCGTCCTATCTGAGACTCATCAGCAGTGCGCATCCACTACCGAGAATCAAACCCGGACCGTTTCGAAACAACGCAAACGTTATACCAACTGTACCACGGGCCTCAGTGACGAAGAAGACACAAGCTAGACTCGATATAGCGTCGCTACTCACTCGGTTCCGCAGCGATGCTCATCCAACTATTCAGATAACCTCGGAACAGTGCCCCAAGATCCACGACTGCTTTTTTAACTTTAGTCACTCCATCGCTCTCTCTCTATCTCTCTCTCTCTCTCTCTCTCTCTCTATATATATATATATATATATATATAGAGAGAGAGAGAGAGAGAGAGAGAGAGAGAGAGAGAGTGGGAGGAGACATTTTCCTTGATGAAAATGGAACCGTCAGTATAACTTCTCTCCTAAAATTTATTTTTATCTACCGAGAGTCTGGCATACGGACGAAAACAGATTTGGAGAACAATTTTATCTCTTCTTTGAGAATTTAGACAAACAAATATATTTTCGTTGGCAAATACAAATTGAGAAATGAAAACAAGGAACGAACTCGCTGTGAGGATTGAAGTTATGAAAATCGATCCTGTAGTAACAAGCAGGTGATCTGGTTCATGTTTTTGCTAAGACAGCGATCAGTTCACGGATGGAGAATAATTTTATCTCTTCTTTGAGAATTTAGGCAAACAAATATATTTTTGTTGACGAAAACAATTTGGGAAATAATTTTATTTCACGCTCGGAAGGTTAAATGAGAAGGAATTTCTCTTAACGGGCTGGATGTACGATTAAGGTAGGAGTTATGAAGATAAGTTCTGTTATAAGTGGTCTGGTTTATATTTTCGTTGGACAATGATAATTCCAGGAAAATTGAAAAGAATCAAAGAATTAAAAATAATGACTAAAATAAAACGCCATTCTTTTGTCTACGCGCTTTAAAAATTAGATTTGTCACAAAGACAGTTATGCATGCCCTGGGGAGATGGGATGAAGTAGAATGCCAAGGATGAAGTGGAGAATTTGGCACCTCCTGTATGGAGTGGTGGTGCGAGATGTGAAGTGAAGCAGGTTGTAATTAGGGGAGGAGCAATCCCTGTAAATATTCCCGAGAAAGTGAATGGTTTTCCAAATTTGGAAAGTTCATTAAGAAAGCAGAAATAGGGAACAAAGAACCCTTATTAGAATTAATGTGAAAATTAAAGAATCAGCGAGTCCTAAGAACCCTTCGGTGCCACGCCAGTTTGGGGCCGAAGTGCATATAACCAGGAGACTTTGGGAGCTCAAGGACTTGGGCTGAGATCCTTCGTATTGAGTTCCTCTGGAATCCACGTCAACTGCCACCAAATTTCCTTACTCCGAAGAACTTTGAACCCAAATTATTAGACGAGGCGCAGTGTAACGATAGAAACTGATGCAGGAGGGTCCATTTTTGTTGTATCAAGATTATATAAACCAACTGAAGATTAACCCCATGAATCTTTAGTTTTATTTTTTCGTTGTGAAGATATTTCTTCCTTAATATAGCACTCGCCACGTCTTGAACGGGCGCTGTGATTACTACGACATTCGATCTTCTACTGCTTTGAGATCAAGAACACAGTGTGGGCAGAGTTGGTGTGAATCTAAGCGGCCAGCAACCAACAACCACCTTGGACAAGCGTCAGCATTGAGCAGCGCAGAGTTAGTCCTGTGGTTAAAAACGTCGTCCTAAGACACTTTGGACTGGACCCCTAAACGTGGTTACACCACCGGGTGTAGGCAGCAACAGGAGATGTTATCTCAGTTTAAAAAAATGAAGTCACAGGATATGCCGAAAATGTTATCTTCTCTGTTATTTTTCCAATGCAAAATAGCATAACATACCGAAAATATTTTCATTTCTGTCATTCTTTATTTTAAAATCAATTTCCAATGTATATTCCATAATATAATGAACATCTTATCTTTTCTATCATTTTCAATTTTAGAACCAATTTACAATGCAAAAATGCATGTGCAAAATAGACTCTTGCGAGGAAAATTGTCTCGGACGATATTCTGAACCAACTTTCCTAGCAGCAGACCAAGCAATCGATTCAATATAATCTTTCAACTTCATGTCAACAGTAAACGTTAACCCGAGAAGGCGCAATATATCACTTGCCTGAAGATTAGCAACAGCCATGGCAATGGAAGTTAAAAAGGGTTCTCTCATGCGATTATAAGAGAGCAATTTCGTTTTGGAGGCGTTAAAATTAATAAGTATAAATTAGAATCAATTAACAAAGGAACATAGTAGAATTTGCAGAAAATGTTATCTTTGTTGTTCTTGAATATATTTGCAATATTGAAAAATGGTTACATAATGTTTTTATAGTTTTTTTTTTCTTAAAATACAATTCCTGTTCCATCATGGAATTCTAATTGAACCATTATTTTATATACTGACCTTGTAAAATTCTTGGAAATCTGTTACATATGAATTTATCTATAGCTCAAAAATACCCTAAACTGATTTAATTCAGCTTTGTTGGTCTGTAGCCCCCTCGTTGGGAAACTTCTGTTGTGTCTGCGGACCCCTGGTCTCAAAACCATATTTTCATCTTTAGGGATTTGGCGACCCTACCGGTTCTGAAGGAAAATAATTTCATATAAAAAAATCTCCAATCTTTCTTTTTTCAAATGTCACAATATGCAAGTTTTGAGATATTTTTCCTCACCTATCACTTTCTTATCAAACATCAATTGAAGTATAGAATGTAGAAATAAAACATTTTCGTGCTCTAAGCAAATTTATGCAGTTGACTGTTTAATTTTTGTACAGATGTCGAAATTTTGCCTATGTCTCTTGCTAGCTTTTCGTAACATTCCCTAAAACTAACTTCTGTAATTATTTTATTTAAAGCTTTTTTTTAAATAAAGATGTTTACTTTTAGTTTAAAATTTTGCAAGCAAAATTTATAAAAGTATATTTAGAATTTAACTAGCATTAGCCTTCTTAGTGATAGATGGTTAAAGAGAGATAACTATTAATTACATATACGCAAAACTAGAAACTCCGGTTTCGAATTCACTACTTCCGGTCTTACCCAAGATTCCTAACTCCTACCCGGAAGTAATTCTTTTTTTTTTTTGCGAAAATATATTTACGGTCATCCGGTGAGTTTAGCATACGGTACCAGTTTTGAAAAGCCGTTCAGTTATTAACATCATATTTTAGAATTAAACTATTTTTTAACGATTATTTCAACGTTTTTTTTTTTTTTTTTTTTTAGAAATATGTCTGACGTCGAAAGGTATGTGAACTAAACCTAACCTTTCTCATCTATTCCAATATGTCTGTATCCACCGTCACATGTTCAACGTTGTTCACATGTTGCCGGCCTGTAGTTGTTAAAGAGATAGTCTTTAGTTGATTTTTGCGTATCTATGCTATTGCCTGTTTACCTATCACTTACTGATCGTAAGTTAACTAGTCATTTTTGGTGGTAATAAAAAAATATCCTGGTTTATTCACGCGGCAAATATGTTCCAAATAATTTAATGCTAGATATACATTTTTAAAGGTAAAACTATTTAAAGATCCTGTGTCTTCTATTTATATTTTTTTAAATACAGTGTAACCCGGATATAAGAGAGATTTTCTCTGGTCCCAAATTAGAGCCTGTGTTAGAACGTAAATAACTTGAATAAGAAGAGTAAGACTCATAATCCATTCTTTCGATACGAATAGCCATGTATTCTAAATGGAATTTAATAATTCAATATTTGTGGACAATAACTCAATTTAAAAATAGAAGCGGCCTAATGCCATTTACTTTACATTTTTATCAAATGCGTTTCTTTTAAATTGTTTGAAAAATAAATAACAGTGTAAAAAAAACTTACCTCGGAAGAAAAGCGATACCCAATGTTTAAAAAATGAAAAATCTTTCTTGAAGCTTTTATTTCAAGCTAATATTTCCCCCCAAAAGCAAAATACTCTGTATTTCAAACTGAATTTAAAAAAAAAAAGTCCCAAAACACGCTAAAATCGTCCATATTGACAAATCTGTCAACGTAGTTCTCTTTTAAAAAAATTTTCAAAAATACTTTTAGTTTTCTGAACTTTATTTGATGGAGATTAGTCGATTTAAAGTTTCTGATTTTAAATAAATATTACTTTTACTTTAAAATATAGCAGAAATTAATATTTTAACAGAAGTGGGTATTTTTCTGAGGTGCTGAGAACTCAAACTTGTGTTTAGTTTGGGAATTTTTTCAGGGTGGGAACATAACTGTAAGAATTACTTGAATAACATCAAACATTATATATTTGAATACTTGAATAACAAACATTTATAATTTTTATATTATATAATTTTCAAACTATCCAGTAATCTTAAAAATTTAGGAAAATATTCTAATCTAAAATTGAAATCTACGTACTTTAAGTTAGGTACCTCCAGGAAATCGCTAAAAAAAGAGCATAGCTTGATGAAAAAGACGCCAACCTTGCCGAAAACTAAATTTTATTGTCTAAAAAATGCTTATGTTATTATTAAGAGGAAAGACCAAAGTTTTTTTTTTAATTATTTTTAAAAAAATTTCCTTTTTAGAACATTCTAAATTTTGATTAAAAAAACCTTTTTTCTATTTGTATCAGCGGAACTAGTAAATAACATAGACAATTTTTAGCACGTTTTTTTTTTGGTATGACACACATTAATTTGAAAAAATCGTGCAAAAATAGAAATAATTATCGGATGTTAATGAAACTTTCAGAAACTATTCACAGATGATCGAAATTATTATAAATATGTTTTTTTTTTATGAAAGTCATGGCAGAAATATTTTTTAAAAATATTTATTACCCCCCCATAACTAATTTTATGAAAACGCTAGAAATTTGATCGCATCGGTTTTAGTGATTACAATAATTAAAAGCACAGGGCTTTGAGGAATGCAAATCATGTGTTTTTTTTTGTTTTTAATTTGATACGCAGTACCTGAAAATCAGCTCTGAATTGTAACATACAAAACTCAATAAAACAAAGATATTATTTAATTTCAAATGCTTTTATTTGCTTTTAGTTGTTTTTCTGAATATGGACAATATTTTCTGAAAGCAAAAAAATTTCTTCGATGAAAAATGAATTTTTAATACAATTATTTGTTATTTCATTAATTATAATAGATTTTACATTTAAGTTGTTAAAATATTATAAAATTAGTTAAAAGTCAGATCGGCTTTCATAAGTGTCCTTATGAGATAGATCTTTTTTTTAGCGTTGTAAATTGTATCATTTTGACTAATCAGAAGATCCCCAGTAATTAAGAAATGTAATTTTGTGCTTATAATCGAGCTGTAATTATAAAATACGGAAGACCAACCAGAATATAATTAAGTTCGTTATTTGAGTTAAGCATTGTTCTCTGCTGTTAAGGCCTTTTACTTTTTATGAAACACGTGTGGAGAAGTTAATTTGATTTTTCAATTTCAACTGAGAAGGGTACCTACAAGTATCAGTATCATCTTATGAAATTTATATGATCTTATTTTATATTAATCTCAGTTACTTACATTTTTCCATAAATGAAATATCAAAATTAATAATAAAATGAATGCAAATACAAATAACAGTAGAATGTAATAAATGTACATAAACTTATAGTATTTTATGTACAATTCTGATAAAATTTCATAAGAAAGGTGCCTATAAATTAATTAGATACCTTTCTTAAGAAATATGAAATTTAATGTCACTCTTAACAGTTTTATTTTAATTTCTTTACAATATATTTCCCATAAAGCATCATAAACGTAAAGGTGAAAGTTAAGTACAAAAAAAAAATTAGACCGCTGAAAGTTTTCGTTAAAAATAACGGGTAAATAATTTGTTCACGTAAATGTAAATTATTTCACTTTTCTCCTTCCAGAGAACAAATTAGCCTCATGGAATTCGTAAATATATCATTCATCACATGTCAAGAGACGCGAAAGTTTATGACCTGCTTTGTTTTATTTTCAAATTACATCTTTTTGGCACAAAAGCTAAGTTAAGTTTGGTTCAAAATATTTTAAATAAACATTATAATTTCTGATTTTCTTAAAATAAGTTTTGAAAAAAATGATAATTGATATTTAAAAAAATTTCAAAGTCAGATTTCCAGTTTTTTTTAAAATGGAAAAAAATGGTCAATTTTGCTGACTCAAAAAAAAATTGATTTTTAACGAAAATTTCGGACGTGCTAGAACGATTAAAAAATGGAAAAAAAATTCCTAAAAATACTTTTGACCTTTCCTCTTAATAATAACAAACATTTAGACGATAAAATTTTGTTTTCGTCAAGTTTGGCGTCTTTTTCATCATGCTATGCTCTTTTTTTAGCGATCTCGTGGAGGTACCTACTTTAAGTTGAAGTCTTATTTATGAAGATACTTCTTGAGGAAATGTTAGAAAATTATCATTAAATTTTAAATTTAGTTACCACTCTTATTTTCTGATGTTGTGTATGGATGCCTGTATTTATAAAAAAAAATTCTGCCACCACGTAATTTAAAGTCAGTTTGATGTTTGTAGGTCCTTACTTTCCATACAAACAATTTTTGTTTTTTTAATTTTAATTTTTAAACTCATTTTAAAATACATGGGGATTGTTGAATTGAAGTAAGCTTTTTCCATTTATGATTTGAGAATATAGTTTTTATTTAATAACTGTCACCTAACTGCTACAAATCTATATAATAAAAATGCAAATGTTACTGTGTCACACTTTTTCAACTTTACTCCTAGAAGCTGTATCCCAACATATACCATTTTAAAATCCGTCTGGCTCTTTGAGCAAATTAAAAACATTCCGGGCTGGATCCGGAACTGCAATCCCAAAATTTTGGATCCCCAAGCTTTCATTACTGCTATTATTTTTTTTAAAACATGATTTTTTGCAACAATTTTTTTTTGTATGATAATTTTTATAATTTGGGAATAATTGAAATTAATTGCAAATTCCAGTGAAAGTCTCCCATGAAATAAAAATAATTGTTTGTATTGAAAGTAAGGACCTACATATATCAAATTGAATTTAAATTGTATGGTGGCAGAAAATTTATCATTGAACTTTTAAGTTTAAATATTAATGCAATACTCAAATGCAGTTATCAATATTGAGTTCTGTAGTTTATTGTTGCCTATCACATCTACTCCTACCTACCTATTGTGATATAGGCCCAATCAAGAGCCTTCCACAGGGGCTAGCTTAAATGCTGCCCAATGGGGCAGATTTTAAGCTAGTTAATATATAATTTTGAAAGATTTTTTTTTTTTTTTTTTTTTAAATTTCTAAAATAATTTAATTCATCTGTGAACAAAACCTGAAAGTTTCATTAAAATCCAACAATTATGATTTTTGCAAGAATTTCCAAATAAATGTGTTTTTCACCACAAAAAGACATTAAAATTTCCTGTACTAATTTATATGGCTATCGTTGATGCAAAAAAAAAAAAAAAAATTTTAACCAAGATTTTGAAGATTCTAAAGGATTAAAAAAAAATATGATTTCATAATCAAAAAATCCTTTGGTTTTTCCTCTTAATAACAAAAATTTTGATGATAAAACTTTGTTTTTATTAAATTTGGAACATTTTCCCATTGTGTATTTCTAATCAATATAGACAAGGATATTGCAAAACTTACAAAGTCATAGACTTAACATATTTAAGTAGAGATGTTACATTGTATATGATGAAAGTTTATATTCTACAATGTGTTGTTTTTTTGTTTTGTTCATTCATCTTTATACCCGGGCTATTGCACATTACTTACTTTGTTACACAATATCCCGAAATCAGGGACTTTTATTCAATGATTAGGTAACCTCAGTTTACTGTTGAGATTATGAGTTAACTGAAACCAATCAAATTTTCAATCTACCAAAACTGTTGAAATTTATTGTTTTTCTTCTGTATCTCTCTGTATTTTCATGTTTTGTGTACTTTTAGAGAGGATTCTGCCCCTGCTGGATCATTAGATCTTTACACTGCTCTTCAGGAAGTCCTGAAAACTTCTCTGATCCATGATGGACTTGAGAGAGGTCTTAACCAATGCTGCAAAGCATTAGACAAGTAAGTAAACAACCTTTGCATGGAAAAAAAATTCTTAATTTATGCACAGATCAAACTGATTAGTTTCCAACTGTTCATTCACAATTTCCTAAAATTTCATTTTGCAGTTAAATTCTTTGTTTTGTAGGTGGAAAAATATTTACTAATTACTGTATATTTCTTAATATAAGGTGACCTAAATATAACAAATTTTCATGAATTTATCCTATACCTCAGGTATAAAACAACTTCTTATACGATGGCTTATTGATTATATAAAGATGTTATAGGAAATGTTGTTACTTCCTGTATTCTTAGAAATTCAAAATAAACAAAGTAATAAAAATGGATTCTATATCATTTTCCTACACACATCTCCTAAAAGGGAAACCATCGTTTTGGTTACATTTCATCTCAATCTCTTGCAGATTCTAATTCTTTTACTCTTTTTAAATCTAAACAGTTACAGACTGGACTGGTGTACTAATGGCCATTTACTTATACTTCATCGACAATCACAAAATACTGCAAATAACAGTACGATAATAGTACATTCTACTTTTCCGTGAATGCAATTATAACTCGATGTTTACATTTTCTCAGCTGAGCTTGCCTGGATACAACTTGATTTCAGTGATATGGAATTATTCTTCGAATAGGCAATTTATTATGAAGTTATGCCAATAATATCTAAGGTAGAAATGGTTTTATTACTTTTATTATCAGTTTATTTGATAATGTGAATCTTTTCACGTATGTTATTTGTTATCGCACAGAGGCTGATGTTAGCCTACTGATAAACATCACTTAGAATTTAAGGTTTCTTTTTTAGAATTCTTGTTCAAAGATAATAGGCATATTGGAGGGATGTATCAAATGTTGCTCTATGGCTAAATTATAACTATTTTAATGAACATATTTCAACCAAGTCTTTGCTGTATTTCCCTCTAAATCAGTTTATATATAATTTTTCTCTTCAGGCGTCAGGCTCATTTGTGCATTTTGGCCAACAATATTGATGAACCTGCATACACCAGATTGGTTGAAGCTCTTTGCACAGAACATGGAATTAACCTGCTTAAGGTAAGACAATCAAAAATGTAAAATTCAATAGGAAATGAAATAAAAACACCAAGGGCACATTCTTTTTAAATAAAAATAAGTTCCTTCCTGAAGACTTCACCAAGGATGTATCTCAATCCTGTGTATAACGTCCATTTCGAGTCATTGTTGTAACCTAGGGAACATTACTGAATAGAATAATCACACAAAGTTTGGTAATGAAAGATAATACTTAGGACAAGAACAATACATATAAGATTCACCAGTGGTGCATAGAAGTAGTCAAGTAAATTTCACAAAATGAATCTTCAATGGCAGACTAACATACAAAATTTACTACTGTATTTATATGAATGTGAACATACCCATTATCATCTGTAGGCATGCTACAACAGTCATGATGTGTGCTTTAATCTCTCTCTCTCTCTAATGATGACAACAAATGCTCCCTCTACTGATGACAACATTTGAGGATTGCATTCAGTCTGATCAGGAGTTAAAACACCAACAACTTGAATGCAATATAGCTGCAATGTAAATGCATAATATCAAAATATTGGAACTGCTAATAAATGTCATTTACTACACCCTTAAGTCTGTCCAAAAATGAAAAGGGTTATGGATGGATATTATTTATTCTGTTTTTTTCTAAACTCATTAAATAAAAAGTATCTTTTATTGCAGGTTGATGACAGCAAAAAACTTGGCGAATGGGCTGGTCTTCGCAGAATAGACATGGAAGGCAAAGCCAGAAAAGTCAATGGCTGTGGATGTGTAGTGGTCAAGGTAAAGCTTTGGTTAAAAGATTTCTTTACATTAGACTTAAATTGTTTGTCCATTAGATAAATATTCAATTTCCAAAATGATAACGACAAAATGCTCCCCCTACCTAGAAACCATGAGGAATGCATTCAGTTTGAGTGAGAAAAAAAAATGTGAATAATTCTTTTTTTTTTTTTTTCTCATTTCAGGATTATGGAAAAGAATCCCAGGCTCTGGACATTCTGAATGAATATTTCCGTTCTAAGAAATAATAAAAAAAATATATTACACATCTAACAAGCACTTTTGCTCCAACTTTCTTTTAGTTAAAAGAAACAAATTTGATTTAGAAAAGAAAAAAAAAAAAGAAAACAATTACAGGTATTCAAGAGAAGGGAGATTGATTTACAGATTTAATGTTTTATTTTGAAATAAAATTCAAATATTTATTCAAAGCAGACATCCTTAATAAGGAGTACTGTTCATTAGAGCAGTGTCTTTTGTATTGTAAACATGAGTATTTCTCCCATGGCAAGATGCGACATGGTTTGGAGACAGAACATTCTGTGCAATGCTATTTCATAGCAAGATTTGGAGTTATCTGTGCCCGTTTTCTGAACATCCACCCAATCCTGTGCATATTTAAAAGCTTGAGTTGGCATAAACTTAAAGTCTAGTGGGATTGCACAAACATTTCAAATGTCTTGAGTGAGCAGTAAATAGAAAATTTGTAATCTGAAATTCAAATAATTTCTTTCTTTTTCTTTTTTAAAAAAAACACAAAAACAAAATTTGACTTATCTCTATCAATATGAATAGTAGAATGAAAATTGATTGGGGGCTATGACAAATATTACATTTGAGTGGAAAACTGGGAAGCATTTGTAAGTTAACACAGTAGGGGGGGGGTTAATAAAATAAACAACAAAATCTTATAATTTGAAAATAATTACTAAAAGGCATAATCAATACTATTGTAATGTAGAGAGAAGTTTAAAAAGGAGCATTCCTGACTAGTAATTGACACTAATTGCAGCATATAGAAATAACGCATGTTGTAAATATAAATTTTATAACCAAGTGATTACATAAACATAATGCTTATCCTTTCAAATAAGATTCACCCATATTGAATTTTAAATGATTCTTGGAAGATAAAAATTGTGATAACTTTTCTGTTTATAAAGTATTTCACCAGACCCAATCTTTTATTATTATTATTAATAATAGCCTGACAAATATTGTTTTGAAAAAATAAAAAATGCTAAGAATTTTTTTATTTTTATAGGTAGCCCTGAAAATACAAACAGCAATATATCTGAATCTATTTTTAATAAGCAAGTACTGCTGAGTATTTTTTAGATCTTTAGATAATGGTTCAGAATTTAAGGGGTTTACATGAGTACATTAAAAGGCCTCCAAGAAATACTCTCAGATATAAAAATTAACAAAAATCATCAAAATACAGCATGACCACAAACACAGACACTTTAAGAAACATTACATTACACAGATTGGTTTGGTGAGAATTTTAATTTTGTAAGTAAAAAGAGATCAAATGCTAAAACTACAATTAGCATTTTAGCCATTCAGAAAATCAATCAATGTACTCAAAAAAACAAAAAAGAATTTGTATTGCCTTTGAAAATGTGCTTATAAGGAAAGTTTATATGTTCATTCTTAACTTTGATTACCTATTGGCTATTTTAAAAACAAAGTTAGTTTTAAGTATGCACAGAATGAAACAAGCATAACAACTTCCAAACCCTGAATATAAAATACATATGCACATATATATTGAAACATTGAAAGAAAAGATAGCATTTAGGAAGTAAAAAAAAAAATTAGGTGTATGCCCCCCTACACCTGTTGCCTTCACTTGAGGTAGCACTTTTTTGTGTGTTTGTGTATATTAGCACATACATTTTGGATCTTTGCTTGCTGCCTTTGATGGTCTCCTTGTCACATTCTTTTTTTTTTTTTTTTCAATTTGACCTTCAAATTGATTGAGCCCACTGGTTGCCATATTCAGTGCCAATCAATCCATGACACTGCATATAATATTCTTTCACAAATTCACGCACTTTCCTTCGGTTGGATTTCTCCCTAAATTTAAAAAAAAAAAAAAAAAATGGTTATATTTATTTCCAGGATTTTATTAAGTCCTTTTTTTTTAATTTAAAAGAAAAGTAGGATGAATTAAAAAAAAAAAAAAAAAAAATGAAAATTTATCCTGCTCCACCTCCGACCATGGGGTGCCCACTAAAAAAGCAGCAAATTTATTATCACGGTTTTATCTTTTAGGAATAATTGACCTTGAATAAATTTTTTGAATATCCATGACCTTGAATAATCATTCAATTCTCTCATAATTACTTAACTCTGGTTCTTTTATGGTTGATTAATTGCTGCTCGATATTAAAACTCATCTTTTAAAAGGTTATTTGCAAACAACTTTCATCTTTTGTTCTGCTCTTCTCATATGGCTAAACAACTCACTGATTTTAAGTGTCAAGTTATCATACTTTTCAAAGAACATCCGATATGGAAATTGACAAAATGTGCAGAAATTCTTCCTAAATTTTCTCATCAGTTATCACCAGTTTTTAATGGTTATCTCATATCTTTCTGGATTTACCGCTTTTTTACTGGGCACCCTGTATTTTCTTTTTTAATTTAAGAGTAACACTTGAGATATAGATTAGTTAGTATTAGTGTTGAGTAGTTGTGAACGAGACAATGACAAATAGACACATCAGTTAAGATTTCCTTACCTAATAAATTTAGGACACTGACAAAGAGCACATTACTTCGATGTTGATAAGCAGAAAATTAAATTTTTATTGATGGTGGGCAGTGACATTTGAGTAAAGAGTAAACCAAAATTCTCACCTGAGTATGTGACGACAGAACTGTTCTCGCTGTTCCATGGTTTGCATTGCTAGCGGAAGGCAAGTTTTGTTCAAGTTGGACACAAATTTAGTAAGTTCATCAATTTGATGTTTGTTTATGCAAAGGAGAAGATCAGCAAACTGATCAAGTGCTGTACGTGAAGATCCACCTTCAATCGCCTGAAAGACAATATATTAGTCAGCATATTAAAGGAGGTTTAAAGGAAGTAAAAAAATAAAAATAAAATGGTTAACCTTTAATAAACTGCATTACTCACTACTTTTCCTTTCCACTGCATTGTTTTTCAAGGTACCTCTACTACACTACTTAATTTCAGTCATGGTCATTTTCTGTTACCATAACTGGATATGACAACACAACTGCAAAATTCAAACATGCTATCATTCATTCATTCATCCAAGTCACTTGCAGCAGCAGGATAAAATTTTTGCTTTGCAAACAAAATCACCTCCAGAATATTAATTAAACAGATCTTAAGCTGAACATTTTATTTAAAACCTAATGTTTAGGTTTATACCAAAACATACAATGGATATTCTAAGTGTATATATATATATATATATATATATATATATAATATATAAAAATTCATACATTTATCCTGAAAATATATGTAGCTAAACCATAAAGTTACATTCGAAATATTTAGATTTCAGCATTAAATGACCCAGAGGTGTTGACATGCCACTAAACAGAGACAACCAAACCAAAAATTTGTTTTCAACAAGGCTCTTACTGAGACTGATGGTTAACCATTAGAATTCTGTGGGTGACTATTTTTGCCAGGTAAAATATTAATCTTGCTAATGCAATTTGAATTTCATGGTTGTGCAGTTATATCCTTTTATGGCAACACCTAATTGAGAGCCAGGCTACTACAATTTCAAATATATGGAACTAATATATAAAACACTATATTTTTAGGAGATTCCATGTACAGTAAAAGTGAAGTAATATTTAGAAATGATTCAAAGTGCAAAATGTTATGTTTGGCTTGCAAATTACCATGAATTTAGCATCTTGTTGAACATGCTTTTTCAACAATCATTGAAAAATGACAATGGTTATCCATATTTGTACAAAAGGTCACTCCTGTTAATCATTGTTCAATCTTTGACAAGCATCATAAAGCAAGAAAATACTTAAGACTGAACAGGATGGTTTGTCTTGAGAAATACATACCTTCAGCACCTGAATAATCATATCTCCACCATACTTTTGAATAAGTTCTTTCACCCATGGCACCTCATTCCCCATAATTAAAAATTCTTGCTGGAAAAAATAAATAAATTCTAGTAATTTTGTAATAAAATCTTCAACATTACGCTAAATGATAGCTTACTGAAAATTTATCGGGATAATTTTTTAATACTGATAAGAATTTAACTATTTTTCAAGGTTGATTTTTACCCGAGGAATTATTTTCGATAGAGTTTCAGTTTTTAGAAGTAAAAGATGTAAGTCAAATTCTTTTTTTTTTTACATGAAAAATTTTTCCAGATTAATTATCTTCTATAAAGTGGATTATGATGAAAATTAATCCATATCTAATTTGCATCCCTTATCCAAAATGCTTGCATAACGTAAAAACTAAACATTCAACAAAAATAAGGTGAAAAAGGTTAGGTATGTGCAAAAATTTCCAGCAGTTTATAAAATAGAAATAATGACATGTACTGTGTATTTAATTAAAATAAATTGGCCACTGGGAACTTCCACACACACACACACACACACACACACACACACACACACAGAATAGTTGAAGGTAACTTACTAAGAAATAGGCTGAAGCTTTTATAGTGAAAGTTTCTGGTAAGGCTAAACCAAGAACAGCTGAAAGGAAAAACAGGAAGACTAAAAAAGAATCTACATTTCTCAAATGTCTTTATGTGGATGGTCTACTGTACAATTTCATCATATATATATATAATGCTAATTTAAATACAAAAGGGTGCTATAAATTAATTCCACCTTCTCTAATCTCAATATAACTTTATTTTTGTTTTAATCCTGATATCAAAAGACTTGCACTTCAATAATAGAAACATCAGGAATAAGAAAGGATCATCAAAATTATGTTAAATGTTCTCACTTTTTTTGTTTTGTTTTTTTACAAGTGGTAAATAAGGATAATATTTTTCCATTCTATAGGAGGGTTGTCCAAATAGATATAAAATTACAAGTACCTGTCATCACTAGACAATCAACTAAATTGGCTTGAACATGTCAGAAATTGACATTTATAGTGAGTGTAATTTTTTCCCCCACCAACTCTTTCCCCGGTCAATTTTCCTCTTTATAATAAATGTTTTTATATTACTTAAATTCTGTACCACCAAGAAGGTATTTGTTGTCTAATAACAGTTTCCATACATATTTATTTTACATGTGTATCAGGTATTCAAATTCAGAAATTTGGCAAATAAACTCGTGGGAGAAAAGAACATTTTTAAACGATATCTCAATTTCTTAATATTGGAAGAAAAATTTTATATCAAATGTTCTTCAGTTCTTTCTATTTATTAGTAAAAAGTTAATGAAAATTATTTTTTCTTACATATAATTTAAATGAATCTTTAGTCAGTCTCATGAGATTTGATACAAAAAATCTGTATGCTAACTTTTAAATTAAAATACACTTCTGTATTAATCATCTATAGATATTAATATTTAACAAAAGAAAAAACATTAAATGACAAAAATTATGGTACAAAGGAAGTAAATCAAAGAAAATAAAAACAGAACAGATTGATAACTGTCCAACAAATACAAAACTGTACATGTTTGAATGTACTACTTGTGTACAGAAGAGTCATTTTTCCTCACCTGATTGAAAAAGGCTTTCCAAATCAAAATCTCCTTGAGTTGATACCAGCAACCGAGACTTTTTAATAATCTTTAAAAGTAAAAGAAAAATGATTCAGTTTATCCATTAGTCTTATCTTCTGAAAACCTTTTTTTTTTATATATACTTGCTAAAATTACTTTTAATAATAAAACTAATATGGAGACTGGACATGTAAAAGAGAGTAGAAAATTTTGAATATAGTCTTAATGGTAATGTCCTAAGTTCTCTAAACAAAGAATTATCAGAGTGTAGGCATTTGCATATTAGTCTAATGTGAGACAATATGAATTTGCCTTGCTAAAATTCATTCTCCTTGAGTGAATTTTGCTTTGTAGGTAGGTCCTAGCCAGCCTACAAAAAATTAAATCAGAAATTGCCTAAAAAAATGTTTATACAAATGTTTAACCAGTTTAGAACATTTTCTTTATATTAGAGAAAATAAAATTTCAAATTAAGTTTAGAAAATAAATAATTTTAATAGTTGATTTCAAATTTAATTGTAATCAAAAATTAAATACTAGCTTAATTTTAGTAATTCAGAGAAAGCTCTTTTTTTTTCTTTTTTTTTTTTAAAAAAGAATTCTGAATAAACATGTTTGCAGGTTTCTTTTTTCTTTCTCAAACTGATTAAAAGGTAAATAAAAAAAAAATTACCAAAAGTTCAACTTCTCTAAGCTGTTGAATTCTGATATAGTCTGCTGTTGCCATGATCATCATCAGTCCCATGACTGGGTGTTGTCACAGGGTCACTGCACAACTGAGCACTTAACCAGTTCCTTCTACATATCTGGATTGAAAGCCAGATTCATGCATAGCATGTCTTAGGAAAATAGACCTGACAGAGCCCAACCCCTCTACAGACACCAATCTACAGCTGGTGCCATCAATTCCATTTGAGGAATACTCTCGTCTGGCCATTGACTTCAGTCTAGGAAGCCCTCGGCCCAGCAATGCTATGTCATCACTGGCTACATAGTTCAATTCATCTGAAGGTCACGTGAGTGTGAAACAACTCACGCTGTCCTTTGACAGGAGTTAATGTTGTGAATTGTTTTTTGCTCTGTCTAGGTAATCTGAGCATTGAGGACATTTTCTTTACTGAGTGGGTAGGTGTTTGCCTTTAGGACTTTTTCCTTTCCTTGTTCAAGATTTTCTTTTGAATAAGGTGTTAGGTTGTTTTGGCAAGTTGTCTGTTGGTTTCAACAACGCATTTGTTTTTTGTTTTTTTTAATAGTGTGTGCGTGCATGTATATATATATATATATACACACACACACATAGCTATGAAACCCAGTCTATATGGGCCAAGTGGTTAGAATTTAGAATGTTCACTTTCTTAACATGAGACCCAAGTTTGAATCTCACCATGTTCAATTCGTCAGAAGCTGACTTCTTGATGTTATCAATCTGGAGGAGGCAATCCCAGCATGTGACACCTTTGGAAAATGCCTAAAAACCATGCCACAGTCGTGCTAGCACAGAGTCACAAGTCATTGTGACCGAGGGTTTGAGCATGCTGGCCTTGTTCAGACAGTTGATTACACTAGATAATGTGGTCTCTCCCACAAACTGTAACTAAGGTCCACTCAGTATAATTGCACTATAAACCACATATGGGCTCTGTGGGTGTCAAACAAACACAAATGTGCCCGAGCAGGTATCCTAGTAGATGGATATATATTTTATATATATATATATATATATATATATATATATATTTAGTGAGCCAGACAAACCTACAAGTTCACCTAAACGGATCGTCAGGGAAAGTTTGGCCAAACTTTCCCTGACGATCCGCTTAGGTGAAAACCTAGGTAGGTTTGTCTGGCTCACTAGGTGTGTATCTAGGTCTGCTCTACGGTTGTATTGAGCTCTTTTGTTAGTTAGTTGTTACTGTATCGGGGTTTTTTTTTTTGGGCTTCAGACCTGCATCTGTGCAATTTTTTGTCGGCAGAAGTTCATGTTTGTAGCTCTTTCTTTTTTTAAAACCTTTTTTTTTTCCCTCGAGATTGATTTGATTAGCAAATCAAAAATTCGAGGGTTTTTCAAACGAGTCTAGTTATCTATATATATATATATATATATATATATATATATATATATATATAGCTATGAAGCCCAATCTACATGGTTGTGCTAGATGACTGTTGACCCTAGAAAGTTCATCCACTTTTTGGTAGGTTTTGTTTTTAAACCTGCTACATGTCTAGCCACTCTCCTCACCAGAAAAGCCTGATAGAGAAACTGGTTGTTATAGCCTTGTTACAATATAGAGAACCTTATCTAAACAACTTTCTTAAGTGTTTCTATATTAAAAAAAAAAAATTAAAATGTCTATTTTATGTAGAATTCAGTCCAGAAAAGGAAACTTAACAATCTCCAAATATATTCCACTTCATATGAAAATAAATAAAATATATTTAGAAAAATTTCTGACCTGTGCCCAAAGATTCATCAGTCCTTCAACAATATCTGTGTGTTCCCTGAAATCTGTAAACAACAAAATCATTTCATTCAAAACATCCCAGAATATTTAATTTGCTTTGAAGAATAGGTATTAATGTTAAATATAACCAATTACACATCAAATGCTTCAGAGGTTAAACAAAGTCTTTATATAATTGTCTTAATATACAAAATGAAACATCATGACTACATCAGTATTCTCACCTTAGCTGCTTTTAATACAAATATTTTGCTTACTATTCTTTCCATCCTTCATCAGGTGTGTGATATATATCCAATAAACTTCCACAGACTTTCAAAACTATTTTATTCCTGCAAGACATAATTGTTATCCCTTTATGACAACCCATACACCCTCATTAAGTAAAGAACTTGATATGCCACTGTTTATATGTGATTGGATAAGTAAGTCTATAGCTATAGACAGTTATTAATAAATCTTGGTCGAAGATGTATAATCTATGCAATTAACAGAATAGCATTGGTATTAAGGACATTATGTTATAAATCATTAGACTATGATCTTATTGCATATAATGATCCCGTTGTTGAGACAGACATCATCTCATAACTAATATATTGCATCAATATGACACTTGTAACAATGAAAGGAAAATGCAGTCAAACTGTTTTGCCTAAGAATCAAATATGATTCCAAAAGGAACAAAAAACGTTTTTATTCATAAGAATTTGAATCCAGGAACTGTGAGCATTCAGAAATTTTCTGGATGATGGCTGAAGAGCAGCTCAGTCAAAATGCAACGAGTATGTTAGTTTAATGAATAGGTAAAAAAAATTTTAAACGGAAGACTACAATCCAAAAATAAGCTCTGAACCATTACAAAATATTGTAAACCAGTGAATAAGAGAGAAGGGAGAAATAAATTTGATTAGTATTTCTTTCAGTTTAATTTCTCTTGCTTTTTATCATAGCTGTCAATTCAATAATATGTAATGAAAAGAAACTTAAATTACGATGAACTAAATACATGAAAAATTAATTAGTTGACAATGTTTCATCTAGAAATAAAAATTAATTCTCCTTGTCCCTCCATATGTTATTCTCTGTCAATACCTTGGAAATTGTTGTAACCTAGAAAGGGTTATTGAATGAGGGATAACCAAAACGGAGGTTGGAAATGAAATGGTAACCTTTATAACATCAACAAAATACAATACTCGCCAGCAGTGTGAATTAGGTAAACCACTACTTAGCATATTACCCCCACTTACAATAGTGTCCAATGAATTTATGAGGATTGGGACATACCCTTTTGTACAGTATATAACAAATAATGGACTATTCTGCTTTGATTAGGTGGGAAAAAAAGAAAAGATGTAGAGATGCTACTTGGTTTCAGTGAGAAAATAAAAAGAAGGAAATGCCTTGCCAATACCTCATAAATAATAGACTGTTCTGTTTTGATTGCAAGGAAAGACAGAAAAGATATTTTAGACACTGTTTGATTTCAGTGAGAAAAAGAAGGAAAAACAAAAAATTTAAACAGGAAAGCTGTGAAATTTTCACAGGTACTACTAGTAAAAAATAATATTACTAAGAATTATGTTTCACGACAAAAATAAAATGCTCCATGTAGACTAATTATAAAGCTGTCTACAAGTGGAGCATGGGAGATGACTTTTTCAACCACCACAAACAGCCAGAGAAAGAAAAAGACCATTTTATAAATATCAACATTAATAAGCAATCAAGTCTATTTGCTTTGATACTAACGTTACAAATGATTGAAAAGAATTATAATTGATTAACAAAACTGCAAAACAAAATGATTAATATGAACTTACCACTCAAAAGTCACTACCCACAACTTTAATCCAATCAATCAATGTATTTAGTGTAATAGCAGTAATACACTACTCAAGTGCATTGAAGTATTACAGTCTTTTTATAGCTAAACACTTCAAAAATGTTATATGACTTTATGGTCAAATAAGTATACTCACCTTGGTTGTATATCAGTCTGATTGTAAAAGCATATTCTTTATCTCAAAAATTCCAATATAAATGTCAAAAGTGAAATAAATATGCTAATTAAGTTAAGTGAAAAGGTAGATTGACACAGCTTATTTATCTTGTATTTACTCTAAGATCAATCAAAAATATGTTGGGTTAATCTCTATCACTAAAAGATGCAGAGCATTATACAAGTTTATAGTAGTTTTTGAATGTTGTTGCTCAATGTAAAGTTAGCAAAAACAGATTTTGGGCTTGGGGCTTAGTTTTTTCAGTACTTATTTCCACCATTTGTACTATTCTGACTTCTTATATTAATATTAATATGAATAATTTCACTTCTTATAGTAACACCAGTTTAGTGGTACCACTAAAAAAACATATAAACCAGGGCTCCAGATTAACTTCCCTTTTTTTTTTTTTTCACACCATAATCCTGGAATTGTTCCCTCCCACCGCCAATAATTTTAAACCATCCCAGAATCAAAACGTTTTTAACTTAGTTATCATTTGTAGTTGTTAGCGATATAATAAAAACACTATTAAAATGTTTAGGAAATAAATATTTATTTTAATCCATTCAATATTTGTTTATTTGCTTTTAATGCAAGTCATATTGGTTGTTATAAAAATTCAAAAGCTAAAATGTTAAAAATGCATAATTACAAAAAACAAATTACTCAAACATTTAAGTCATAATATTTTACTTAAACATTTGGTTAAATCACTTTGAATAAATTTACATGAAAATGTTTGTATTAATTTTCATTCTCAGAGGAAGTGAACTCTATGCATTCATTTTATATGTAAAGAATAGTGCATTGCAACCATTCTCAAAAGTTTTTAATGTCATTATCAAAAGATCTGCCTTACACTGTGACCAAATTTGCCATGTTTATCATTGTTTTTATTTCTCTCTTGTATTTTCAATTTTGATAGGCAAAATACACAACACATGTTGTTTGTTAAATAATCATTCAATTTTTTTTTAACCAATTGACAGGAAAAAATATAATTTTCTTACTTTGTTTATTAATGCAAAATTAGTTCTTACAATTAGATCCTAAGGTTTTTCACATTTAAAGATAAATAAAAAATATCTAAATTTAAGTACTTCAACCTTCATTTTTCATTAACCAGTTTTAAAAAAAGGGCTTTTTTTTAATTTATTTTCTTGTGTGTGTGCTTCATTTGTTAAAACCCGCAACTATTGGTAAGAAGAAATTTTATTTTAAGAAACTGGTAGCTTTTATAGAATAAAAATAATTGAATTTTCATTAAAAATTTGGCATTGTCATGATATCAAAAGGAAAGTCATCCCAAACAGTTCTATCAACTCTGGGATGACAGAATAACATTTAATCTCAAGCCCTGATATAAATGCTACTTAATATGTAGGCTTTAACATCCACATCCAATAATTTATTTTGAATAAGTTTTGCTGGCAAAGACAAAGGGAATGATTTTACAAGGTATTTTTTTTTTAAACTCTTATGGATTTGGCGACTAAATAAAATATAACAAAAAAAATTTAGGCTCAAGCATTCTCACCATTGTGCAAAACAGTCAAACTTTTGACTGTCAATACCCCAAGAAGTTCTTTCACAGATGTCTGAAGAGTCTCATCTCGGTGAAACATCAAAATAGCCTGCAATACACAGCAATTAGCTTAGTAATTTGGAATTTTAAAAAATTTAATTAGAAATTGAAGGATGTATAAACTAGTGGGACGTGAGTAGATTTGAAACCCATATTACTTTTTTAAAATCATACAAAAAGTTATCTAGCCATAGTTGTTAACCCAATAAATGAAAAATGTAAATATAAATTTGACATGATCTAATTTTTACCGAGATCAGAAAAGAAGAAATTATATTGTTATAGAAAAAAACAGGGCATGATATTAAAAGAACTTGATATTTCCATTTTTTTGTGGGAGAAGATCTGTAAAAATGTATAAAAAGAAGACTATTAAGTACATTCCAGTTTCAAATTATATGTACTTAGAGTGAAAAAAAAAAAAAAAAAGAAAATCTACCAAAAATTACATCCATAAAACCCAACCACTATACCAAGACCTGAGGGAGACAAACTTAAAAGGTAGCATATAGATTTTCAATCTAATTTTTAATATAAATTTAGACATCTAAATTGTTCTTCTTGAGCATACTGTGGATTAAGAATAGTAGCCAAAGAAATTTAACTTTAAATGACTTTACAATTTACCAGTAAAAAGTTCCAACAGAAAAATAATACTTACGTGTTTTGCTATACCCAGAATGGCTGAATGTGGGTAAGCATGGTACATTTGGGTAAACATTTGGAAAGAGTCATTTGCTAAGGGAGCAAAATCATCCATCAATGCACGAAGAGTTTTCCGAAATAACTCACAGACAGACTGCAAAAAATACATTAGAAAAAAAGGTTATATACAATCTATGTATTATTTCTTTTCATTTCTTTTTTTTTTTTTTACAGTAAGGTTCACCCTGTACAAGGCCTGGGGGCTACTCAAGGTAGATGGTTACATTAAGTGGGTAGCTTATATATATATAAGAGGCGAAGATAACAGTTGACTCTAAACTTGAACAGTTTAATATTGTAGTGATCAGGGAAACATCCTCTTGGAAGTCTGTTCCATAGGGCAGTGGTTTGTGGGAAGAAGCTGCTTGAGTGGAACTTACTTCTTGCCAATAGAATACAGAGAGAATGAGGTTGGTGTGCTACTATGTAAGTAGCATGGTGGGTCCTAGCTGTGAAGGTCAGACCTGGTGGAACCAGGAGATGCAGTTCATCCGAGTACTTTCCATGGTAGTAGCAATAGAGCAAGAAGAGGCTCGCCACATCCCACCTGTGTGAGAGAGAGGTTGGAGGGTGGAAATAATTCTTCTCCAACAAGGACCTGGATTATGTGTATTTTTGAGTGTATCCTTTTGTTAGCACATACTATGCAGCTAACAAAAGAATCATGGAATTCATAATGACTATGCAGTCAATCTGATGATGATGTACTGTTTATTTTCAAATTGGATTGGCTATTATCAAGACAACTGCACACTGTAACTTCTTATTCTGATCCTTATCATTAAAAACAAATTTTCATCTTATTCTACCTAATCTTATGATATCAATAAATATATTGTTTGATTTGACTAATTAATAATCATTGCAAATAAATAAAAAAAATGTCACTACCCAAAAAGAAAGGATAAAAAAAAAAAAATTACTGCCTATGCTGAAGCTTTTTAAACAAAAAAAAATCTGTTTTACACAAAAACTAAGTTTTATTGATTATGTTGTATCCTTAAAGAGGTTACAAACAGACAAAAGTGGTACTCGAGTGAAAGGAACAGCAACACGTGCATAGATGAAAAAAGAGAGGTTTATTGTAAAAGAGAATACACAACTGAAAGACAGGGAATCGGGTGGCAGGCTAGTAATTCCCGAAGCAAGGATATTTACCTTACCTCCCCACGAGGCAGGATGTGGCATAAGGCAGTTTTTTAATGCAGGGTAAAACTCAGTCAATGAATGCCAAAATGTTTTCTTGTATGGAAACAGCTAACATTATCATTCAGTTGAGAACAAAAAGATTTCCAGGACATTTCTGGAGGATGAGCTTATCAGTGACTTTCTCTTGTGGACACCAAAACATGGACACACAAACATTGGCCACCCATTCAAAACAGACATTCAGTAAGTATGACAATGGATGCCAACCTGAAAACCTACCAATTGCAACAGATTACCACAAAGACTGGAGTAAAAGAGTCATGAGGATCCATGCAGCTATATTTAGCTATCCCCCCACATGGGATCGAATGTGGCACAAGGCTGAGTTCAATGTGGGTAATCCGAGCCCGTAGGCCCGGCCAAAAATATAGCCTTCAAACCCGCCTAGGCAGGTTCAAGAGCTGTCAACCTCCCCGAACGAAACCTTGCCCTTCGGCAAAGCTTCGTCCAGGTTCCTCCCTGCTAATGCAGAGAGTTAGACAGACGCCGCTGGCTGTAAGTTTAATGCAGTTGGCACACCCTTATATATTGGTATATATGGTAAGTATCTGAGAAAATTTCTTTTTCTGATAGGAAATTCCTCTTCCCATTAAATTTCAAGTACAGAATCTGTCATTTGGTCAGAGTGAACAAGAGAGAAGGTAGATGAAAATATAAATGATGAGGTTAAGTGCACAAGATGAAAAAAAAAAAAAGAAAGCTGTTTGAATTTAACCCACCTGTATAACGACTGCATTTGTTGTCCATTTGATCATTAAATCCTGAAGAATTGGAGCAACTCTTTGCATTATCACTAAAACCTGTAATCATTAAAAAAGAAAAAGATAAACTTCTTTTGAAAAAGCCTTTCTTTTGAATTTTTTTCAGCTTAAGCCGTACTTATGACAGAGAGTTAAAAAGTTCTCAACCCAACCCACTTCTTAAAAATATAATCTAATGTTTGATCATTGAAAGAGTGATTTTTGGAAATGGGTAAGGCTGAGAATTTTTCAGCATCCATTTTGTGTGTGTGTGTCAAACTAATTTACAAATTATTACATTCTGAATATAAATGAAATGAAATCAGCACTCCAATTATAATTAGTGATATGATCTATTATTGTTTGATTGTATTAAAAACAAACACATAACCTTTTGTCTTTACCAGTTCTATTAAATGCTACAAGTTTTTTTTTTAAGCGGAACATTAAATCAAAACAAAAAACAATTATACTAAACAATAAATATATTTCAATGCAGTTCAGTCTAATGAAATCTAGAGACAAATTGATAGCATTTTTTTAAAATTATTTTGATTAATGAAATATAAATTGAAGTAACATTTTTTAAAGCTCATCCGCAGTAAAGTTAAAATAGGCTTACAGGATTAGGATTAGACTGACTAGAGTTCTGATGATGGTTCTCCTGGACTACCTCTTCAGTTTCTCCTCGTTCAGAAGTGATCGTTGAAATAAGCCAACTGAGCATTTCTAGCTTCTGCACAATAGCATCCTGCACTGTGCTATTAGGCTGAAACAAACAATACAAAAATTAGGTAAAAGCAGTAATTTAAAAAAAAAAAAAAACTAGGAAAAATAATTTTATTACAATTACATTTTTTTTAGATGCTATGCCCATTCAGGATGTACATGATCATGGCTCTCCACAAATATTTCTCCTTTATTATCTGAATTGTCATGCTTTCTTGGGAAAGATAGTAGAATAGTTTCCCGTTGTCTTGTCTATGGTTTGGAATTCAGTGTTATTTCCCTTAGGCACATTGCTGTTTAATCCATAGATGGAGATGAGAAAAGATGGAGTCCAAAAGCATAAATGAACATAAGATATTGGGTCAGAATTTGAACTTGGCTGTTTGATTCCATTTTCAATGCCAACAACTAATACACAATCTATACATTGACTAAAACCACCTTAAAATACAAATCAACAAATACAAAAACCAGAATTATTTATTCTTTTGACTTTTAATAGCACTTGAATTTTATTCGTTCAATAGATTAATCAGATATCTGATTGGAATAGAAATGACTTTTTACAATTTTCTGATCAGCTTTTCTCTTTGGCACATCAACTTTATGAATTTAAGCACAGTACTAGATTGGCAATCAGTTATGTGCCATGCATGATACATACTTAGGTGATCATGTATCTTTCGATACATGGCTGATGAGGCAGATTTTTTCCCGCAGTAGGTTGCCATTTCTTTCTGTGGTAGACCAGTTGCCATCCAAGGCTATAGAACTCGGTCTGTCCTGCTACTTACCTATAGCTGGTAGGAGAAGAGGATTCATACCTTTCCTAAGGGTATTTGCACATAAGTGAATATAACAAACCCAACTGGAATTGGAACACAGCTCAACAATTAACAATTCTAAGCCATTATCCATTATATCATCCACACATCCACACTTATAGCAACTGGTATTCTCAAGCAGTCACAGATCTAGGTACTGAACAAGCTCAACATTGATTAACTTCTGTGGTTGGTTGGTTGATTCTTAGTGACATATGGGTTATTATTTTGCTGAAATCTAATTATTTTGAACGCAATTCTTCGACTATAGATAAAATGTATTGTTGGTAATTTTTTTATATAAAAATGTATTGTTGGTATTTTTACCATAAAATGTATGTTTAGTTTTCGTTTGGAGGTTCAGTATTTGCCCATAACTGGGACTTTAAAAGGTGCTACCACCCGATATCAGAGTGTACATGGGAACAACAGCAATTAAGAGGTGGTTCAACGTTCTTCAAAACCTCCAATCTCCCAATCAGAAGCCTTGCTGCCAGATGTAGTTTATCATCATACCCGGGACGAGTGATCATACAGGTAGCTTTTAAAAGTTTAAATGCAATGTCAATTGTTATTGTCTTCCTTCTTAATTCCAGTTCTTTTTTTATTCTCACTCCTTAATAATGTTTTTATTTTTCTCATATTCTTTTACCTTCAGTGAATGTCTTAGTGGGTTTATAGCCTTGCTTGATTAAAAAAAAAAAAATGAAAAAGAAAAAAAAACAAGCAAACTAAATACCTGTCAAGAACAATGGGATAATTTACATATGTATTGTCACTTCTGTTTATGATTGGAGTAACTGTGCAATCAGACTAAGGTCAACATGTCAGTTCTGACCTGCTTAGGATCAAAGCAGTATTAGTGTACTCTGCCAAATTTTGTATTTGTAATTTTACCATACTGTTGTCATTATGGATATGTAAGATAATTACTTATCTCTAGGTTGGATGTTCAAATCAAGACAGGATTCACTTGTTCATTTTTGTATATCTGCTTTAACATGACAGAAATTATAGACAGAAAACATGCAGAAAAAAAATCCAAGTGCTCATTATGATGATGATGATGATGATGACAAAAAGAGACCGACTCACTTCTTCTTTCGCTAGTTGTGAAAGTGCCCACATTTGTGGGGCAAGTAACTTGTCCAAGTACTGCATGATATCAGTGAAATTGAGGGTGCTGAGTACATGTCCTGCGATAGCCATCATTCTTACAGCATCTTTGGACTGGAGTTAACAGGAAGGGAAAAAATATAAAAGTAAATTTAAACAACACACAAAGACAAATAAAATTTAAAAAGAATACCAATTTTACATCCAAGCAATACTCATCTCCTCCTGAACCTACCAAACACATACTAAGAGTGTGCATAGTACTTATCATAGACAGTTTTTATGTACACAATAGCAAGCTGTTGTCAGTGAGTTTTGTTCATCACTGGATGCTCTATAAATGTGACTTTATACAAGTAACTTTCACGATCAGATCTAATTGTGAAATTTAAAAAATTGTTCATGCTATTAGGTGCCTGTAATAGAAGTGGGGAGAGATGTTTATTTTTTGAAGAAATTTTGCAACCACCACCACCACCAGCTTAACAACACTATTTATTAATTTTGAACTTTTTGACAATTTAAGCCCACTTTTATTAAGCCCTCCACCTCCATTTATTGCCTATTAAGGAAAATTCCAAACTCCATTTCCCCTATAAGCTTATCAAGACAATCATATTTATTTTGCACTTTAATGGATAGTGGCTCGGATTGACAAACCAGAGAGCCGAGTTCGAATTCCAGTCGAATCCATTATATTCACTTACATGCTAATACCTTTGGGAAAGGTAGGAATCCTCTTCTTCTCCCCCCAGCTATGGGTAAATAACAAGGCAGACTGGGTTCTATAGTTTACCACAGAAAGAAATGGCAACCTACTGTAAGAAAAAATCTGCCTTGTCAGTCATGCATTGAAAGCTACATGATCACCTAAGCATGTATAATGCATGGCACATAACTGACTGACTGACTCTTTAACCCCAATTCTTTTAAATCCTCTCCACCATTTATTACATATTGAGGGAAATTCCGAACTCCATTTTCCCACCACAGGCTTATTAAAACAACTCAATTTATTAATTTTGCACTTTTTAATCCATTATTTTCTGAACACACTTTTATTAAGTCCCCCCCCCACCCCGCATTTAGGAGGAGAATTCTGAACCCCATTCACCCACCCCACCCACAGTGAATAATTTATTTAAGGTATAATTCAATGGATGAAGTTAAGCAAATGGATGAGATTTTTGTCCTGTAGAAATTTCAAATTTATATATTTCTATACAAACCTTTAAATTTTTCTCCAACATAGTCTGAAAAGGAAGAAAAAATATTAGAATTAAACAAATGCATAAAATATGTACAAATATAATTTTTATCTTTCCCAAAATAAAGATATTATAATCTCTCCTCTCTTAGTTTGTTACGTTCTTCCCAAATTTAAAAATTTGACCTAATTTTAAGCTAACACATGTCAGGAAAATTAATGACAAAGTGGAAAAAATTTGTGTGTGACACTTTTTGTCCTTTAGAATTTCATCAGGCTAATAGGCACTTTAGTCTGACAAAGTCCTAAAAGACAAAAAACGACCCTTACCATTCCATTTTGTCATTAGTTTTCCTAACATTGTTCTGGTATATAAAAATTTATATATTTTCTCCCAAACTAACACATGTAAATACAATAATTTTTCTTATTGAAATATGTTGAAAATTTCTTCAACTCAAGGGTAATATAAGTCGGTCCGGCTGTAAGTGATTGCGAAACACACATAGTGTTGCATCCCAATTTTAAACAGGGATCAAATAATAGAGAGAAGAGCATGCAAAACAACTCCATTCGCATAATGTCCTTCTCAAAAAAAAAAGATGAAAGGAAGAGAAGGCAAACCTTAAATAACAAAGAGCAGATCTGCATATCCCACTCTTCCGGTAACAAAAGACTACAAAATTAATGTGCTCTGAAACAGGACCGCTTTGATAAACTAGGATCTGTCAACCAGTCAGTTTCTACATCCAATGGACACCCCATAAGCACAGGTAATTTCACTTATTTTTCCACAAATATGTAAGCATAAAAAAATTCATAAAAGTTGATGAATAAATTTTCATTTGGCCTCAATTTAATAGAAATTAGAAAATTTGTGGTTGGCAAGTTAGGAAGCCAACTTCTAATTAACAATGTACAAAAATAGGACTGGCAAATACTTTGTCAATAATGCAGTGATGACAAATGCATGGTGTAAAATATAAAAACCAGCCTATTCGAAGGACATCAGCAAGTTCATATTTCATACATATGAGGAAAGCTAAGAAAAGAATATTTATTCCTCTCTTTAGAGAGAGGCATAAGTAATAATAGTGACCAGTTTTAAAAAAAAAGAAAAAAGCATCATGATATCATATCCAGTGAAAATAACTAGTAACCAAAGATTAAGGACAGGGAATGGCTAAATTGGTTCTTCAGTTAAGAAATGGTTTTTATTCTTGGTGCATATTGAAAGAGAGATACAGATCAGAGCATGGTATTCTATACTACAGGCCTAATCATGGTGCAACTAAAGATCAGAACTGGAGGTTTATTTCAATATGTTTGAATTTCAAAAATTTTATGAGAAAAATTAAACAACATTTTTAATAATTGACTCATCAGTTTTGTAGTATAAAAATATTACATTTACTTCTATTTTATGCTTTTTAATAGTAAGCTAAACTAAAATTCAATATACTATTTAGAAAGAGAAACACAAATTAGTCATAAAAAATTAAATTTTATCACCATTATATTTGTTATAATTTGTTATATGAATAACAATAGGAGAGAAAAATAATAAATTTATGTGATAAATAATGGTATTTTTAAATAAATTTTTCAGTGTAAAAATGGAATAGAAGAAAAATTTTCAGCTTATGTTAAAAATTAGACATGACAAAACCTTATTAAACTTTACTTTTTTTGTAACATTTGCAAGAAGATAGACTAGAAAAATCAGGTTAATAAATTATATCTTTAAATCAAGTAAAATTATGCATTATTTAGTTAGAGGAATGTTTTTTACTGCGACCCACAGCAAGAATTACATTTTGCATTGCAACCCATTATACCTATGTGTAATAAATCAAAGTCTTTTCACTTTTGAAAAAATGTCATTTAATGAGACAGATGTGCTTATTTGTTCATAAGCAAGATTCCAATTGGAATTCCAATTGCACACCTTTGTAACTAAGTTTTGTTGCAAGGTCAGCCCGCAATGAACAAGATACATAAACTCAATGAGAAAAAAATTATATATATATATATCACTTAAAAAAATAAAATATAATACAAGCTTACCATGATGAAACTAACGATGATTTATGAGTGTGGTGTAATATTTAGAGTTGTTTGTATTTTGCACTCACTTGCATTTTTTCTTTCTTTCTTTCTTTTTTGTCGCAACCCATTTTATTTATCTTGTGACCTACTGAAGAGTTGGAACCCACAGTTTGAAAAAACCCAAATTAGAGCATACTGCCTTGTCTATATCTTCAAAGTTTTTTCTTTAAATTTTACAGTGTAAAAAGTTATCTTAGGGTATAAGAATTGCGGTAAAAATTCAACATACTTTTTTTAACTGTTAAAAACAGAAATACAAATTATGCAAAAAAAAAAAAAATTTAAAATTGATCAAGTGTATTTTCTTTTATGAATAAAAAAATCATAGAGAATATTAAATTGAAAGTGAAAAGGTCAAGATTCCTAAATTACATTTTTCAACAAGCATAGATAAATGCGCACACAATAAGACTTAATTTCAAAAGGACAGTTTTACTCATCACACCACTTTTTTTACCTACCTTCACTCTTCAGCAATTTTTATTATTTTAAAAAGCAATGATTAGAATTGGAATAAAATCTAAAGATATGATGAAAATGAACTTATACATTTTTTTTTGTCCTTAAGAATTTACAAAACATTAAACACTTATTTTTTTAGATTATTCACAAGAATAATTTTATATGTACAACATTCTAAAAACTAATACAATTAAAATGAATGCAATGAAATAGTTATCGTTTATCAATTTATAAAGAAATAAATGTGAAAACATTTTTTATATATAAATTTATAAACATTTACTAAATTATTAAAATACTTTAACTAACTATAAGGAAATCCTTATTTACTATTTTATAAAGTTTGAATCGATTAGCAATTAGCCAATGTTTTGCCAACCATTCCAATAAACAATAAAATAAATAAAGTGTAAATAAACAATCTAATAGTATTTATTATTTTTGTTTTCAATTCTCAAGGATAAAGAAAATGTATAAATTTACTTTCATATGTTTAGGTTTTATTACAATTCTAATTATCACTTTTTAAAACAATAAACATTGCCAAATAGTCAAGGTAATTAAAAAAGCTGTGTCATGGAAAAAAAACATCCTTTTGATACTCCGTCTTATTGAAGGCATATTTATCTATGTTTGCTTTTCTTTTTTTAATGAATTTTACATAAAAAGTTTGTTTTTGTAATAACATAAAATATAACAAGTTCAAAGAAAAGAAAAGAGATCTTGTACTTACTTCAATTAAAATAAACAGAAGTTATTCCAAGTGTAAAAGCAAAAAGTCTGAATTCTTAAGACTATAGCAGTGAACTACTGCAAATCCAAACTGAAGCTAAAATGCATAAATTCCCATGAAATAAGAAGCTTTTGAAATAGGTCTCCAGTTATGGCCTTTAGTTTGCCCCTTAAATAGGCCTGCAGTATAGAACGCCATGGGTCAGACAGAAAACTAGAAAAACAGTTATTACTTAATTTTTCGCTATCATCTAAAAAAACTAAAAAAACTAACAATCCACAATCTATAATTGGCACAAGTCATTATTCCCAGATACCATAAATATGTTATGCCTACAGTCCTTGCATTAGCATCCATGCTTCTTCTGTACAGGTATACATGTTTACTTACCCAACATGCAGTTAGTATTTGATCAGCAAATGGGTGAATATGATCATGGGTTTCTCTTGTAATATCTTTAAGGGCTAAAGATGCCGGAGTGACAACTTCTGTATTCTGAAGTGCTCGCAGGAGCATTGGGATCACAGACTGAAGTATATTGGGATTCCAGTTTAACCATTCTGCATAGGAACCTAACAAAGAAAGAAAAATTTTAAAAAAATATCAAGAAACACTGAAGATCAATTGACATTCATCACCTTACAAAAAGAATAAAAATATTAACAGCAAATAGATTGGATTTTTTTCAGTCATTTGGTAGAATGTTACCCAAATTATATTATAACTGTACCTTCTAAAGTTTAATTCAATTCTATACTTTTAACATCTCTACCTAAAACGCTGAAATTTTATTTACTACTAGCAGTAGATCCCGGCATTGCCCGGGGATGTAACAGTAAGAGATAGATCAAGTATTGACCATAATAAAGACTGAAAAATAAAATTGACAAAGATTATTGTTTAAGGTTGATGGACACGCATATCTTAAATTTTTTTTTTTTTTTTTTTTTTTACAAATTGGTCAAACCCAAACTCAAACAAAAACATTGTTTTCAATCATTATGAGTCTACCGATTGAATAGAATTTTATTATAAACAATTGTCTTGTAAATGGAATTTTTAAAGCATTCTGAATGTAAAAATAAAGAAAAAAGTGTGCAAGACAATAAGAAACACTACCTGCCAAAAGTTTTGTTGAAATCGGTTGAAAAATGTAGGAAATCCGATCCCATATATAAAAGAACACACACACACACACACAACCTGGGTTTTATAATAAGTATAACTCGATATGAGTTGTCCCCCTTTCATTCTCGTGATGCCTCTTAATCGTGTTTTCAAATTGATCTTGTGCAAAAACAATTGGTTTTTCCAATTTTTGACGCTATCAAAACCACTGCAAGGTAATTTTACGTAGTCCTATGAAGTCTTGTTGAAATCGGTTGAAAAATGTAGGAAATACAATCCAATATATAAACGTACAGACACACACACACACACACACACACACACACACACACACACACACACACACACACACACACACACACACAACCTGGGTTTTATAATAAGTATGATTTACATTTTTTTCTTTCCTCAATAGGAGTAGATAGGTTCACTTATTGTTCAGTTTACACTCCTTCCCAGTCTTTTGAACAGGAGCTGAAGCTTATCTCTTTCTTGTATCCTGTTGAGGATTGGGTTTCTGGTTCCTTCTAAAGTCTACTTCAACTCTATGCTTCTAACATCTCCACCTGAACTCTGAAATTTTATTTACTTCTTATTTATTTTCTTCTCCTCAATAGGAGTAAATAGGTTTGCCTATTGTCCAGTTCACACTCCTCTCCAGTCTTTTGAACAAAAGTAGAGGTTTATCCCTTGTTTTCAGTTTAGGACTGGTTTTTCAGTTCCTTCAAAAGTCTTGAGTCTCTCTCCCTCCAAGTAACCCCTTGTGTTTTAGTCGTTAGTATGAACTGATTTAAAAAAAAAAAAAAAAAAAAAATTTTTTTTCTTTTTATAAACAATGTAGGATTTTTAGCAGAACTTGAATTGTTTAATTTCTGCACATGAATTAGAACTCAAGTTGCTTAAATTTTGTTATGTTTGGTCAAATAAATAGAAAAAACACATTTCAATGTAACTAATTGGTAGATTTCTTGAATACAGCATAAAATATTTCTTAACCCTTGTATTTTTGTGGCCCTTTTTGAGTTGCTTAAGCCACACTGACACCAGTAACAATTGCTCAAGGCATGTTTAAATTTGAGTTCAGTTGCTTTATAAACAAATCATGTATTACAATAAGAAATATTATCGGTACCTTGTATAAAAACTGTATTAAAAAAGGTAGTGTCCATAATCACTGGAGCACTTGGAATGATCCCACAGGTACTCGAAAGTCAAGTGTAGTTAGAGATAAGAGAAAAATCTGGATCAATAGAGACAAGTGAATTACTGAAATGTGAATAAATACTGAGAAAATGCTGTCACTTGATCCCCCAACAATGACCTACTACAAAGATACTAATAATACATAAAACAAATACTTGATTTGAAAATCAAAGAGATTATGCGTGGGATTCCCAAGAATTCAAATTTTACTATCCAAGTTTTTATTTTTATTTATTTAAATAATTTATGAAGGGGTAAAGAATTGTATTATAGCATTAAAAACAAAGATATTATATTAATATATAATACATACAAATATATTAAAATAAGGAGAGAAAGAACAAGGGAAAAAAATGATAAATTGAAAACAACAAGCACAACTAAGAAGCTAAACAGTTCCTCACTCTTCAGAGCTCAACTGAAGATAAGAAAAAAATTATAAATTTATGCACAACAAAAATTAATGGAAGAAAAATTTATCAGAGACAAAAATTACCAGATAGGAGTCATAAAAATAACTTTAAGACCAAACAGCCTCTCCTGGTTGCAAAAAGAGGGCTGCTTAAATTTGAAGAAAGGTCTCAAATATTTTCAAATTATAATCTGAATGTGCTCTGCTGAAGACTGAAAAAAATCTCTGACAAAAGAGGAGGCACAAATTGGATTACTTATGAAATATTCTGCAACTGCATTCCTGGGTGTATTGACAATCATATGCACATTGTTACACTGCCTGTTAGCTTTGTCTTTAGGAATGATTGCAAAATAATCCCCTACTCTCCAATTTATAGGCAAAACCACACAGATGCATGCTGGGATTTCTTCCTAGCCAATAAAATAGTCCTGGTCTGTCTTGTCTTGAAGTCAGAATGCTAAGTCCATTAATTTGAATCCGCTTTTGTGTGTCAACACCAATTCTTAGTTTGTGAACTTTTTGCCTTATTACTGTTGCTTTGTCTTGCATATATTGTTTGCTTGCTTTATATTATTCTTTGCCATGTTCTTTTCTTGTTATTGTTTATTGCAAAATTGGTGTTGACACACAAGAGTGGATCCGGATTAATGAACGTAACATTCTAACTTCAAGACAAGACAGGGCAGGAATGAGTCAGATGAGACAGAGAAATAGCCTATCATATTGGCTAGGAAGAAATCCCAACATGCATTTGTGTCGTTCTGCCTATAAATTAGGAAAGGGGAATTATTTTGCAATCATTCCTAAAGACGATTGAAACCAAGCCCCTCCCTAAATCATTTTCTCTCCCCTACCCCCCCTTTCTATGGAGTTAAGAAATACAAACAAAATACATATAAACATCAACAATTAATTTCCATATATTGTTTGCTTGCTCAATATTATTTTCTGTCCTGTTCTTTTCTTGCTATTGTTCATTACAAACTTTGTCAATTCTATTTGTTAGGCAGTTCTGCCATTTATATTTAACCGTGGCCGCTTACTCTACACTGCCTTCTACAAATCTTAACTGGCACCTGCTGATCAATTCTCACCCCAACCTTGGACTACTTCTTATATATTCAGCATCATACTGACATTATTTTTTTAAGCAACTCCTTAACACTAGAAGGAAATTGCTTTTGAAAAAGTGACCAGAAATAACAAGATTGGAACACTTAGCTCCCAAAGTCAATTTTCTTAGTTCTTGTAATGCATTCTTGTCAACAAAGGATTCATAGTTTCCAGGAAAATGTTCTCTTTCATATGTCGACTTCTGGAGTCTTCTAATTTTTGCAAATAAAGATAAACCAAGTTGATAAGTAATAAAACTTACCAATCATTCCAAGTGTTGTGGCAATAAGAATAGGGTGGGTAATGGGAACCTGGGGAAGAAAGTTTAAGAGGGCCGGCAGGTATGTCTTTTCAGTCAATTCTACTCTTTCAGCAATTGCTGTGTACAAGAAGAAAATGCCCTCAAATACCTGTTTGGAAAAAAAAAAAAAAAAAAAAAAAAAGGTACAAATTAAAAATTAAAAATATCTTAAGCATTTCCTACAAATAATTGTAATATACAAGTTTTCATTCTTCAGACTTATAGTCTTTTCAGTAATGAAGATGAATTGATTTGCACAGTAATATATCATTTAATTAAAATACAGTTTTGGAATTTTTAATAAAATCTCAGCAAGGTTTTGTACAATCCTGTTTTCAAAGTTTCAATTCATACTTTACCATTATAAAATTATATACTTCCTTTCCAAAAAAAGGGTTTTAAAAATACTTTAGAAACATTAGTAATTAGCCAAATAAAAATAAACAAGTGAATATATAATACACAAAAATTAAATTTAAGTACTGAAAACAGGATAACTTAACATTTTATAAGATTTATTGAATTTCATTAAATAAAATTTTTTAAAAAATACATGTAAAGATACCAATGAAACAATACTTATGAAGAGTAAAATATATAAATTTTGTGTAGTGATACAAAAGGCGATTAACTCCCTTTGGTCGAGATACATCACATGGGTCATGTGACAGCCACTTGGTGATGTCACTCCATACAGAGACAAAACAGCAGCCAAACTTTAAGCTCACCTCCCTTCCTCTTGTCCGGGCAGAAGCTAAATCTGCCTCCCCTGCAGCTTACAAGCACTTGGTGCCATTTCCTTATGAGAATATATCTTTCCCAGATATAGAATGAAACTCCAGCTAGCAGTTCTCAATTTGAGAAAACCTAAGATTTACTGTTTCCCATTCATGGAATATATCCTTGCCTGGAGCATAGATTAATCTGGCCAGTTTGAATCTGGAATCCTAAACATGGCTTCTCCAGAAACAGGAATATTTCCATATTATATGTAAGACCCATCCTTTTAGCTTTTTCTTACACTCTGCTTTGGTGTATAGATATATGTGATATATTATTCTCTGTGTGGGACATGGGTATATATGTATATATAGTTTTGTGTATGTCTTAGTAATATAAAAGTCTTTCTGGGAACAAAGCACATTTGTCATTTCCTTTCCTTCCAGCCATTTTGTTCTTTGTGTGTTATTATATCACATATAATATTATGTTCATAACGGGGGAAATTCAAAAGGAAGAATAAATCATTCTTCCCTAGCTCTCTCCCATTACTTATATTTTTGAGAATATAAAAACCAGAATACTTTTATTATATTACAACATTTTCTTAGATTAGCATTCTCATCTTGGTTGTTTTTAGCACAAAGTTTTGACCCACGTATTCTATAGCCTCCCAAAATATTGGTATAAAAACAAAAATGAAAATACAAAAGACATGAGCACTGAATAAATAACATCTTCTGTTCTGATGTCAGTAACATTATAATCACACTGTCTAGCTACATTTTGTGTCTGTATTTTGTTTGCCAATATAACAGTGTTACACGTGGTTTTCATTTTAGATCCACATATAGGGCGTCCATAAAGTTTCTCTACAATTTAAAAACTATATTACAAAGGCAATTGATGAGATATCTTAACTTTTATCTTGCTGAAGGTGAAAATTGTTGCCGTAAAATTCTTTCCCTTTGCTGCTCTAGGAGCATTCTATAGATTTGAGAGGATTGCTATGAATAAACATTTGTCAACTGTTATTTCTGGTATTTTAAGCTGGAAATAGCCTACTACTGCTTTGGAACAAAGCTAAACTTCTGTTTTTCCAAATGCCATTTTGAATTCTTCTACATTCTACACGAGGTGTAACATCGATTAAACCCAGGTTAATTTTGTCACAACTTTTTGTAAACAAAAATGGATGCATCAACATCCAATGAAGCCTTTAATTCAGACTCTAATGATGATTTTAAAGGTTCTACTCAAGCAGATATTGATAGTGAAGTGGTTGGAGATAAATGATAACAATCCTAGTGGCAGGGAGAAAAGTAATGATGACCACTAGATGCCAAGCTGCTATTATTATCAATGGCTGACTGATTTTATGGAAGCTACTGGACCCATGGATGTACCTGACAGTCTTTCTGAAAGTGAATTATTATGTTTGTTTATAAACGATGAAATAACTTTATTTGTCAACGAGATAAATAAATATGCTAGTCAGGTGAAAGAAAGACCAAATAAATGCTGGTGTCTACTCGTATGTAAACACGGGGAAGGATGTCACTTTTGACAAAATGAAAGCCTTCTTATCTATTTTGCTTCTTATTGCACCCCAGAACTCCACAAGGAGTAATAAAAGTATGTTAAATTGTTAATGTATTTGTTTTAAGTATTTTTGTTTTTAACGTCAAAACATAATGCATTACATCAAAATATTACTCATCCATTCTTTTATTAGTATATAAAAAATAAAATCTATACACACAATACAAAGAATGTTAAAACAATTTTAAAACAGCAGATGCTCATGTTTTTTGTGCCCTAAAAAAAAAAAAAAAAAAAAAAAAAAAATGCAATGGTAAGGGGAACAATTCTAGAAGGAATTTAGTAGGGTAATGGTTAATTAGATTTGGTCTTTGTACTCAGTAGTTATCAAAGTTTTTAATCACATTGCATTTGTGTATTTCAGTTATCCTGTTGATGAAAGAGGTACCGTTAAATGAATCCTTAACATTTCCAGAGCAGTGAATTGGAAGGGATAGCCCAATTCCCTGACCATCTTGTTTATCAGATATCACTCTCATGGACTTCTTTCTATGAGATTATGTTAAAGATATTGTGTATCCAGCAAAGATACATCACTGATCTAATCTAAAGCAAAAGATCACTGATGCCATTGCCTCCATTGATGAGGTTGTGCTACAACAAACATGGCAAGAAATCAAGTACCATCTTGATGTGCTTCTTGCCACTAATGGTGCCCATATAAAGGTGTATTAAATTAGTTAAATAAACTTCAATATGTACTCCCCATTGTGTAAAAATTTCTACATATTTTGTCTGTTCATTTTCTTTTGTAATAAATTTGTTAAATTGTAAAGAGACTTTATGGACACACTGTATGTCGATGAAAACTGAAAAGGATTCAAATAATGCCCAAAAGAATAATTTCAGATGGAATAAAATAAAATTTCAGAAACTTAATCCTTTCATTTTAACTATGTATACATACTAAAAACCTAGAATGGATTAAATGATAGAGAGAAAAAAAAAACATCAAGTTTGTAAAAAGGTTAATTTCAACAACTTACCTGCCACTGCTCTCCATTCTGTACGGAAGTGTTGAGCACTGTCCATAAATAGGGTAAGAGAAAATCTTGCAGGATTGTAAAAGAATACATCTGAAGAATAGGCATAAATACAATGAATAGGTAAGTTTAGAAAAAGCTGTAGTTGTTTTTAAAATCAGCATTCAAAAAATAAATCATGGCTTTTTACCTGGGCTTGAACACCAGCCACTGGTACCATTAGGAAGTACAAAACATTATATCCACCATAAGGTAGATCCTGAAGACACTAAATAAATCAACTTAAAAAGAAAGAAAATAGTCACCAAATACCAAAAGCCTTATTTATAAATATGACTCAGATGGCATGGGTCATGGAAACATTATGCATAGGTAAATTATACAGTAGACATCATTTCATTCACTTACACAAAAAAACTCAGGAATGGTATGAATTCATCTCTTCTCCCTCCAGTTATGGGTTAAATAGTGGGACAGACTGAGCGCTTCACCATGGGTGGTAATAAATCTAGGAGAAAGACAATTCTGAATTCAAAATTGGTTGGGCATAGGGCTAGCAACTCCATCCTGTAAAAACCTAGCAGCAATACTTGGTGAACTGAGAGCTGTGGTCCCACATTCCTTAAGGAGTCTACAGGACTTGAGTGAGTGTGAGAGTGTGTTAATAGTAAAATAATTGGTTAACAAAACAAAAAAAATAATAATAATAATTATATATATATATATATATATATATATATATCTGAATTTCTGAATGAGGAGTTATTATTTACACTATTTATATTTGGAATATTGTCCTCATCTTTTGTGATGTTATCACATTTTGGGCATTGTACCCTATACGCTTGTGAGTTCAATCCCCAAGAGCTTCTGGCATGAATGCCAAGCAGTACAGCATGCTGTTTCCAAATTTCTGACAAAGTGAATTGCATCATGGCACTCTTTTTCTCACAGATGGTGCCTAACTGATTCTGCTACACTGTGCAGTTGACAAAATCAAAAACAAACAATGCACTTGAGCGAAATTAAAAATATAAAACGGAAACAATTTACCTATCATACCCATATATATATATATATATATATATATATATATATATATATATATAGGTTGGTGCAAAAATAATGACGTAATAATGTTGTTTTTTGACGTATTTTTTAACGTCAAAAAACAACATTCTTACATCATTATTTTTGCACCAATCTAATATATATATGACAAAGTGGAACAAATTTTGTGTGACAGATTTTGTCCTTTAGGACTTCATCAGACTAAGTTTATGTTTACATTGATGCAACTACACATGTGCCCAAACAAAAGAGAGAGATGCTGGAAATTCTTTTTTCTTTTTTTTTTTTTTTAATATGTTTTGGGTATAATATTTATTTAAAAATTATAACATAAGTATGTTATAACATCACTACAAAAATAGCCATTTTGTTTCTGGTGTCTTGTCAAGTGATGGTGTTGCAAGTAAAAGCTACTTGCTGTATTGAGCACTTTTTTAAAAATAGTGTTTTTGGTTGCTGGAAGTTTATTCCATCTGTACCAACCTTGTATTTGAATATGTTTTGGGTATATAATCTAGCCAATTTCATTTAGATTTTTTTTATTTTTGTTATCATTAAATATCCCATATTGTGATAATAGATCCAAGAAAAGTGAAACGTTGTAAGAACTTGAACACAAATTTTCTGTGGATAATCTATTAATTAAAATACTTTCTATACATTTTTGTCTTAGTAAATTGTTTTTTTTTTAATTAGAGTAGCATTTTTAAAATCAAAATTAGAGTCAGTCTTGTTATGGTGAGAAACTAATGCATTTAACGTGTTGCTTTGTAAAAGATCTCTTTTATGTTCATGTAATCTCTTAATTTCTTCAGATTTCTACAATGTCTTTCTTCTGACAATTATTACAGGCAATTGAGTAAATTCCTCCTTCAAATTTTAATTGCATATGTAGTTGCATCAATGTAAACTTAATATGATGAAGTCATAAAGGACGAAACGCGTAACAGAAAAACTTTTTCCAATTTGTCTCATTTCTTTCCTCTAAAATTGTTTTTGATATATAAAAAAATTTATGTATGGGATAACGAGATATATATATATATATATATATATATATATATGCAATCACCACTTCAAGCATCCCTTGGAATGATAAATTCTCAGTGTCTATTTCGTTTGTGCCCATGCGAAATCGCATTAACATAAACTTAGTTTGATGAAGTCCTAAGGGACAAAACATGCCACCCAAAAACTTTTTCCACTTTATCATATATCTTTCCTCTAATATTCTTCTGGATAAATAAAAAAAAAATTATATATCATTTTCTCATATAATTAAAATATTTTTTTGTTAAACAGTGAAATTTTGAGGAAGAGCTTATAAAACAATGAAATTACCAAAAGTTTTTTCTGCTGGTAATTTTGTTTTTAAACATGCCAACTTGTTAAAAAGAATGTATATATCTGTTAGACTATATCTAGAGAATAGAGTCATATACTTATAACACAGTAGAGAAAAAATTTATGGTCAAATACTTTGCAAGATTAAGATGTTGACTAATACAGTACAGTAGGTTCTGCAAGTAAATGAAATTTAATAACTATAGAAAAATCTGAAGTAAATAAAATACCAGGGGGAAGGTGGGATGTTTTATTGATTAATATTTTGTTATACTGAAGATGTTAAGAGAAAAAATAAAGGAAGTCAACTTACCATTGTATCACCAATGTCGTGCCGATAACATCTGAACTGTTCTTTTTGATCTAGGAAAAAAATATCACAAATTTTTATTTTAGCACCTTTTTAAAACCAAATGTAACTAGTCATGCTTTGCATAATTTTTTCCCTACGAATATCTTTCATTCTCTTTTCAGAGTGAAATTAAAATTTTCAAATTAAGTTTTCCTTTAAAAATGCTTGCATATCAAATAAATAAATTATATATATATATATATATATATATATATATATATATATATATATATATATATATATAGATAATATTAGTGGAAAATATACATACATATGCAAAATATATATAAAAAAATACCCATACATGTATATTTTCAGAAAAAATTTTTCCAAGAGGAAGAATCCAGGTAGAACTCAATGTCTAGGACAGAGTAAGGATATAATAAAAAGGCTTAAACACTAATATTCCATGGTCATAATTTATTCCATTGGAATCGTAAATATGATCCAAATCATCAGACCTACAAATTCAAAATTTTGAATTTGTAGGTTATCAAACTCCTCATAGGGTTTTGGAGATAGACCCCCATAACCATATATATATATTCTGAAACTACATTACCCAGGATACTTGGATAAGTATATTTCATTTAAATTTGAGCAAGGGAATAACTCCTACCCAAAATATAGAAGGAGAAAGTCAGAAGATGGAGGTCACATCGGCAAGATCATTGAGTAATACTGAAATGCATCATTTTTCTCCACAAATTATAACGATTTAAAATCAATCATCATTTTCTGATAAAAAAAAAAAAATGTGTGACACATAACAAGATAACACGGCACAGGTAATTCAGCTAGTATGCAAATAAAATCTTTATGAACATATTTTCCTGTGAATTTCAACATATTAAAAAGGACAGCAAATACATCAGGCTGATTTGTTTTTTTTTTTTTACAGCTTAGCAACCCTTTTGAAGTTATTTAAAGCCAAAACATATTTTTGGGAGATAATAATGATTTTCTGATACCCGTCTTACTATTCAACCCATAGCTGGGAGGAGGAGAAGTAGATTGATACCTTTCCCAAAAGTATTACATACTACATTTCGAGCTTGTTCCACATGGTCATGCCATCAATGCTAAACAGTTTTGCCAACAACTAGACCAGGTGTACGACAAACTAAGGAAGGAGTATCTTGCTTTGGTCAATCGAGATCAGGCTTTGTTTCAACAAGAAAATGCGAGGTCACACACTGCCAGGTTGACTCTTGGAGAAGTTCAAACAGATGGACGGTGTTGAGATTCTTCCACATCCACCATTCAGTCCCAATCCTGCTCCGAGTGACTATGGCCTATTTCATTCAATGGCACACTTCTTCTGCAATCAGTGATTCAACACTTGATGAAGTGAAGGAAGTTTGTTTACAGTTTTTTTTAATCAAAGCCAGCAGACTGATATCTGGGACAGATTCAGATGCTGGCTGATCACTGGCAGAAGATTGTCAAGAATGATGGACGTTATTTTAAAAGAATAAATGTTACTGTTGCTCCATAAAATTTTGTTGTTTTCTTTCTACTTCCTAAGTGAGTCAGGACGTACTGGCTAACTTAATACATTCAAATTTGAATTAGAAAACATTAAAAATATTTTTAAAAATCTCTCAATGGAAACTACAGATATTAAGTGATGTAAGTTGACATGTTAAACAAAAGTGAATTAATGTTGTTATATATATAAAACATTAATTCACTTTTGTTTAACATGTCAATTTACATCACTTAGCATCTTCTGTAGATTCTAACACATTCCTGTCTACCTTTATAATACAGGAGAATACTTGTTGACAAAACCAATATACTACTCCACAAAAATAATAAAGAAAAACTTCAAATTCTCAAGGCCCTCTATATCAAAATCAACCAATTAACACTCAACAAAATTTATTACAAATATAGCAACAATATATTAAAGTGCATATAACATTTAATGACATTTTACATTTCTACCAATTTCTGGTCAGCTCCCATATACTGAAACATTTGTTTTGCAAAATATTCCATAACAAGAAATTTAAAATTCTAAAACAACTATAACAGACCATGTTTGCGCATGTTTTTAAAAATCACGATCACAATGGAACATAGATTTTATCACAGTGACAATAAGTTTGTCTTTGTAATTTACCCCTGAAGATGAGCTTATAAAAGATCAAGAGTTAAAAAAAAAAAAAAAAAAAAAAACTAGTGACTTCCTTGATGAACTTCATCTTAACATCAAGAAACTGATTAGATAACTGGAAAAGACCAGTATAAAAATAAATGGACACAATATGTTTATATTATTTAATGAAACATGTTTGAATGAAGATATGCTGCCTCCTAAATATACATTAAAAAAAAAAAAAAAAGACAAAACATTATTAGTTGTAAATACACATCAACATATTAAAAATTTACCTGAAGACCATAATCTGTATTCTGACTCTGGTGGGTACTGCACTTTTCTCAGGAGTATTTCTGTTAACTTACTGTAGATTTCATGAAATATTGGCATCAAATGTGAGTTGACATTAACCCCAACATCAACTAATTCATCCTAAAGAAGAAGAAGAAAATGCTAGTCAACAAAAACACATTTAAAAAATATCAAATAGTTTAAAAAAAAAAAAAAAAAAAAAAAAGGGGTTTATACTGCAATCTTAGTCAATAAACAGCAATTTAAAACAAAAAATACAAATAGATAAACAGGTACCTGGATGGAATACCAAAAGTTGAAAGTTAATTGACTGGAAGTTTCATCAACTGGAAAATAACCAGGTAAACCTGTGCAAGTCTAAAGTAAGAGAAAGAAAAAAAATTAAATTAAAAAACTCAAAGAAAATACATCTTTAAACAAATCTGCACAATTAGATTTTAAAGAGTAATAAAAAATGTACAAAGAGAAAGAATTAATTTGCAACATATTTTTCTTATTTGAACTTATTTCATAGCCGTTAAATGAAAATTCTAAATTGTTTTTAATTCGATTTATTTAATGGCATCTCAACTCCTTATGAGTCATTTAATATTGAAATTTAATTTTCTTGAGGACTTCGAAGTAATAAAAATGATATATGTTATTCTGCATTCACAATTGAGTACATGGTAGATAATACTCAGCTTTTGTGAATATACACGTTTACGTGGACATAATTACTAAAAGCAGTGATATGTGTGTTTTATGTTGTAGTTTTGTAGAAGTTATATTTTGGAATACAGTTTGATTTCTTTAAGAAATTGTAGATTATTATTTGGACTAACATCATTTAGTTCTTTCATGTCGGTTGTTTGATTTTATTTAGCAACATATCAATCTCTTTGGGTTATTTAATGCTGAAATCTAAATATTTTGAACACAATTTTATGGCTTCAACTAAATATACACTATGTTACTATAAATATATACTATAAGTAGGTATAGTGGTCATGTTACTATAAATAGGTATTGTTGGTATTTATTTTTTATATAAAAATGTATTTTTATATTTTTGTTTGGTGGTTCACTATTTACCCATAGATGGGACCCCCCTAACAGGTGCTATTACCCCCAGGTCAGGGTGGACCTGGAAACAACAGCAATTAAGAGGTGATTCCACACACCTCAAAACATCCAATCTCCCAGAGACCTTGCTGCCAGATATAGTTGAAAATTCAAAATAGTCAATGTATCTTTGTTTCAAGGTTGCAACATTTCTGAGAGGATATAACATATATTGAGAAGTCTTGAAAGGATCAGTTGATAATAAAATTAGAAGTGTTTTGTTGATTAGGGATGCTTTTCACTTGGCATTATATATGAAATAACTAGGGTAGTGGTGGATTTTAGAAATATTTTCAATGTATTTTCTATTTGCTAGGGTTGCAAAGGATTAAAAAAAAAAAAAAAACTAATTATTCATGGTTTTAGTTTGTTGCTGTGATGAAAGTAAAAATTTATGACTTTTTTTTTTATTTGATGACTTACAGTTAACGTTTAGTTTTAAATTGGTATCAATTCAAAATCAGGCACTTTTCAGGTTTGGTTTGGTTTGTTTTGCTTTACGGCATATCAAGCACAATAGGTTATTTAATGCTGACAAAATTTTTATTGCTGGTAATATTATTTTTTTCCAAAAATGTATTGCTGGTAATATTTTTTCCTTCAAAAATTTATTTCTGGTAATATTTTTTCTTTAAAAATGTATCGCTGGTAATATTTTTTTCCTTCAAGAATTTATTTCTGGTAATATTTTTTTCAAAAATGTATAGCTGGTAATTTTATTTTTCAAAAATATATTGCTGGTATTAATCTATAGCTGGTAATAATTTTTTCTTCAAAAATTTATTGCTGCTAATAATTCTTTACAAAGTATTTCTGGTATTAAAAACTATTTTTACACTTTCACAGTGTTTTGACCCCAATTTGTGTGTTAACTATTTGCTCATAGCTGGGACCCTAACCGGAGCTACCACCTCGGGTCAGGGTAGACCTGAGAACACCAGCAATTAAGAGGTGGTATCATACTCCTCAAAACCTCCTGATCAGAGGCCTTGCTGTTGGACGTAGTTTATTGTTTTACTCAGGACGCGGGTGTAATTGTCATACCCAGGACGGGGGGCACTTTTCAGAATTGTAATAATATTAACTTACCATCACCATATAGATGAGATTTAAAGAATTCTGCTGTTGTGTCTCATCAGATGAAATGAAGGAATTAAGGATTAACTTTGAATGAGTTTCAGCTATTGCCATAACAAGCTGACATATAGGGGCACATTCCTCCTGTAATACAAAGTTGAACAGATACAAAAGAAAATAAAACAATTTCAAATGTCAGCTATAAGAATTTATTACTGCCATACAGCACCAAGTCCTTATTTTAAGAAAATATTTTTGTTTGGTCAGTGCAAAATGTTAATAGCCATTTACCCTCAGTTGTCAAAGATTGTCATTTCTGTTAAATATGAATTATTGAAGCTGCTGAAAGGTTTAATTTATTGTGACTCATGTCATAACATAGCATTATTATTTGCTATTCTCCTGTGATGAGACACAAAAGGAGGAAAGAACTGAATATACATCGCGAGTGAAGAGATGATTGGCTTATCATCCCTTTGAAGGTTATTCAAAGACAGAAAATATTTTTGGATTGTAAGAATATCCAAGCTTACAGCACCTGGTTTGCCCAAGCAGAAGATGTGAAATGCACATATTTAAACAAAAGACTTCCACATAGATATACACAAATTACTAACAAAAAGAAACTTAAGATTTACTAAACTACTAACTTAAAAGCCATCCTATCAGGCAGCATTTAAGCTAGCTCCTGTCAGGGGACTCTTGATTGGACCTTCATCACAATAGATAGGGAGGAGTAGATGCAATAAGTAACAATAAACTACAGGAGAACTCAAAATTGACTGCTGCCTTTAAGTATTGCATTAATATTTAAGCTTACCTTTTAAAAAATCAATGAAAATTCTTCTACTGCCACTTAATTTTTAAGACAATTTGATGTACATAGGTCCTTACTTTCTGTACAAACAATTATTTTTATTTCCTGTGTGACTTTTGCTGGATTTCACAATTAATTTCAATTATTCCCAAATTTATTTCCAAGTTATAAAAATTGCTATCATACAAATTTGTTGGAAAAAAAATTTAAATAAATAAAAAATAAATAAATAAAATAAAATAAAATAATTGCAGTAATGAAAACTCAGGAATCCAAAATTTCAGGATTGCACGTCCAGATCTGGATTGGAATGTTTTTAATTTGCTCACAGAGTCAGCCTGATTCCAAAATAGGATATGTTGAACCACGGCCTCTAGAAGTAAAGTTGAAAAAGTGTGGCACATTGACATGGGATTTCAATCAAATATTCATTAATACCAGAGTTATGAAGTTGTAGTGTTAGAATTAGAAATAATTTGGGGAAGGCAAGAAAATTCACCAATTTCAACCCCATGAAAAAAAAAAAAATGTTTAAATTCCTTTAACTTGCCATTCATCTCTATTCACCAGAGATCTTTTTATACCTCCCAGCACAGCCCCAATTTACAAAAATGTTTCCAAGGTGCTTAATATCTCTTATCTATTACAAGATACCTTTTTTGGAAAGGTATGAATCCAACTCTTCTATCCCCCACCCACCCCCAAGCTATGGGTTCTATAACCTTGAGTGGCAACTGGTCTAGGAGAAGAAAAACTCTGAATTCAAAACTCATGGCTGTTTAAAAGCCTTGTTTTTGTCATATAGAAAAAACCAACATGGCACGTAAACGAAGTATTTGGTGAAAAATCTCATTCATCAGTAACATTTTAAACACCTCATAGGATGTAAAGTTCTACAATCACACCTGTGCCAAACTGTTTTCCTGAATACCTGATGACTTGGCTGTCCAAAAATGACAACATCAAGATGAAATAATGGACACTTACCATGAAAAACACAATTATGCACAACAAGTTTTCAATCAATCAGTAAACTTCTGGACCTTTTCGGGCGACATTATAGGATCCAGACGGCTATTGTTTGCACATGGAATTATTCACTGGTAATTAATCTTCGATTTGGCTGTGGAAAATGTCACTCAGTGGTTAGCATTAAGAAATTATGCCCAATTTTTTGAGAAAAAAACACCATTTTTTTTATGAAAAAATATTTATTTTCGCTTCAAAATAATATCATTCAAACTTCATCCTTTTCTCTTTCATTTGGCGTGAACATCATTGAATAAAAGGAACGGCTAAATGGCCCAGCAATGGGAAATACAAAAGATATGCAGTGAAAAAAACAATGTCGTCTGCTAAGTGTTGTTGTCATCACCTGGGTTATGGGGTGTTAAAAACAAAACAAAACATATCAAGCCATTGTTCAAACATAGGTTATATCAAGCCCTACTAATGTTGACCTTTTTTTTTTCACTCTTTGCTTTTATCTGGGAGTGGTAGGTTTTATTACAACTTGTTCTAACGTTTATTGCTGGCTGGCTGACCTTTGACCCAGAGATGTCAAAGATAATTTGGTTTAAATTTCCTTAAGGTTGCTATTTTTTTGAAAAAAAAAAAAAAAAAAAAAAAAAACTTGGTTTCTGGTGGTCAGGAATTGCAGAGAAATCATTTGCCTTTTACTAAAGATTTCCGTGGCCAGGTGTCAATTTTTTTTTTTTAACCCTTGGCAGTCATAAAATTACCAATGGACTTTGTCGCATTTTGGCCCCCTAGGAATATTGATTTCCTTCAAAACTCTCAATTTTATGCCCGAAATAGTTTGATTATGATTTAGGCTTTCTGATTTAAAAAAAAAAAAAAAAAAAAAATGATTAATTTCCCATTAATGGGGGAAATTTTTGTTTAGAACGAGAAAAAAATGCAAAATTTTCACTATTTTTTCACATTTTAACCCCTGAAAAAAATCTTGAGTCATTTACACCAGCCAATTTTACTTTTAAATGAAAGAATACATCCTTTGCTTTCAAAAAATACCTAGTTTTCATAGGGTTCAGATCAAAAGTTTCCTTGATATTTCTTTAGGTGATGATAATATTTTACCCCTATAAATCCATTTTTTGAGAGAAAATAAGCTGTGACAAAATGACTTTTGTCATTTTTGTGATGATTTTTACTTGGGATAGAAAATTTTTACCATAGCAAACCTGAATTGACTTTATTTAAGTTCAGTGGAGCTATAGAAAATCTCAAACAGCTGTGAACTGTATGTAGCCCTATAGAAGTACATACTATGCAGCTAAAGAAAGGATTGTTTGCATTGACTATGGTCAACTCTTCTCTCTTTTTTTTTTTTTAATTATTATTACTACAAATTCTAATCTTATGTACTTTATGGAAAGGATTTAAATCTGATCACAAATAAATGCTACCAGGACCTCAATTAATTTATGAACTTGTCAGATCTCCATTCTGTATGCACAAATCCTCAAAATGTCAGTCAATCTCCACTGATATCACTTATTTGATAAAAGTTCTGTCATTTTTTTTTTCCCAGAAAGTGAAATAAATTTATTGAGAGTTCAGTCAGGTTAAACCTATAAATATAACCAAGTAGAGAGATATGAAGAATCCATTTGTATCAGAGTTGCAAACCCTTTTTCTTTTTAAATCATTTCCCCCTAACCAATGTTAAGATGCCAGGGGTTATTGAGAATGAAAGAGAAGAAGATTTTAGTGAAGAGAAATTACATTAAAATAACAGCTTCTTCAGGAAGAGAGAAGATAAGGATTGACATTGCATATAAATTTTTGAAGATCATACATGGCAGGGAAGCAAGAAACTGAAAGAAATTTCCACAGGCGAGAAATTAAACTATTAGTATAGAACTTACATTTACATCGAACTAGCTCAACAGTAAAACGGTGAGACCTAGTTGCTAATCTAATAGTATGCATAAATTTATGCAGTTGCAGTACCAAGGAGGAGAGCTTGTTAGAACAAATGCCATGAAAATATTTATAGAAAAGACAGAGGGAAGCCATGTTACAGTGGTGGGAAAGTGACTGAAGTTGTGATGCCAGGTCAAGACCTGATATGGCAGCAATATTCAATGCAGGGATGAATAGTAGATTTATAAATGTGCAAGATGGATTCTAGTGAGAATATAAGAGAATTACTTAACTTTCAACTCTTTTAAGCACAATACAAGATAGTTCATCTGAGAAACCAACATTTTTATGGAATCTCCTGTTGATCTCAACATATGAGGATCCAACAAACTTGTTCAGTTTTTATGTTTTTCACATGTGACTCTTCAGTCCTTCTAGTGAACTGCATAGAAGTTCACATTAAGAAACAGTGAGGATCTTGGGATATAGCAACAAGAATATTTGCTGATGCTTTTCACCAATGTCTTTCGTCTCTTAGCCAGTCAATATGACTGATTTTGAAAATTTCTGATGCTACTCTGGCACAAATATATCCAGTTATTTCTATCCAGGGCAACTTGCTCAAAGTTAGTATGAGGCACATTGACAGCTGAGAGATTATTTTTTAGTTTTGTCTTTATACCTGAGCCATGGCCATCCAACATCCTTTTGTCCTCTATCAAGCTAGTTATACATGTGGACCTTAGGTATTCTGTCATCACTCATCCTTGTAACATGACAAGCCCAGTGAAGTTGTGACTGCATCAAGGAAGTCTCAATTCCACCAATGTTGCATTTTATGAGAAGATCAGCATTGGACACCCTATTGTCAAAAGTAGGGCCACATATCACAGGGAGACAGCTTTATAAACCCATGTATATATATATACATACACTATCAAAATTTGAAGCTACCCTCAAAAAATAATATGAGATGAACTTGATAAAAGAGTGGAGAAAAAAAAAAAAATGAAAAAGAGCTCTGAGACACATTGAAAAAAGAAGTATCAAACTTAGAGAAACTTTTACAACGAATGCCAAAAACTTGTGTTGTGTTGTGTTCAAGGCTGAAGGGGGATATTTCGATGAGAGCAAAATTTAACATTATTTACATTATTTGGACTATTGTCCTCATCTTTGTCCCCGTATTTATTACATTTCGGCCGTTGTATGCTCCAGCCTTCTTCAGGTGGTTGGAATGTCGAACTGAACCCTTTATTTCGCTCACTGGGGTAGACTGTTCTAGTTCCACATGCCATGTTTAATGGATGTCAGTTATCAGTTATCTCCTGTTAATTTCCCTCTGAAAGTTCTCCATTGCCTTAGCCAGGTATTGAACTCACACTCTTTGGGTCCTGTCACAGTGGATAAAGGCGTTAGTTAGATCCAGTGACAAGACCCATAAATATGGCAACAAAGATGAGGACAATATTCCGAATAATGTAAATAATGTACATAATACCTCATCTCAGAAATATAGACAGGTAGCAAAATTTAATCATAAAATGCTTTTTTTCTTTTTATCATAATAAAATTTCTAATAAAAAAAAAAGAATCATGTCTCACTAATTTTTTTGTAACCATGTATAATAATTTTCTCTTTTTTAAAGTACAAAACAATTCCTTTTTGGACCAATTTAGAAAATTACCAGGGGTGGCCTCAAACTTTTGAACTGCAGAGTGTGTATATATAAAATTTGGTTCTTATCCAAAAACCAGAATTTTCCTAAATAAGTTTCCACCAAGTCAGCTATGTGAACATAATGATAGCGCACTTACCAGTTTTCTTTCTTCTATTAACGTTTTAAGCACAGGTTGTAATTCTAAGATGTGAGGTGACAGCTTTTGTATTGTATATGGAAATCTGAAAAAGATTCAAAAGAAATATAAATGGATCCATAGACTTTCCTATGAAATTTTAAAGAATTTAAGTAATGCTATAAAGAATGTCATCATTATATATTTGCAAACCCCAACCTCAAATTCCTTAAAGAGATGAAAAATGGACGGAGAGAAATAAAAAAAGAAAATATATATATATTAAGAAAGGGCAGTGAAAAAAATTAGAAAAAGCTAAAATGCATATGCCATATCCTCAATCATCATCTTTAGTTGTGGTGCACAGCTATTTTATTTTTCCTCAATTGAGCTCTGACAAAAGAACAAGAAATGGACACCCCCCCTTGTTTTTAACCACCCCCACTCCTTTCTTATTCGATAATTTATTTTTTGAATTGCCATTTATGGTGAATGGAGTGTTTTTATTTTTTTCTTCCTGTCCATTGTCCACTTTTTAATAAATGTCTATTTTTCCAGTCAAGTTCAATACATTCACTTACATGCTAATATCCTTGGGAAACTCTTCTCCTTCAAGCTATGGGTAAGGAGTAGGACAGACTAGGCTCTATAGCTTTGGATAGCAACATATCTAGGAGAAGAAAAACTCTGAATTCAAAACTGTATGTAACCCTGATGAAGAACATACTATGTGGATAAGGAAAGGATCATTTGCATTTGACTCAATGATCTTGATTAACTGTTAACTCCTATAGCATTACTTAAATTTTACTTCAGTTTACACCAAACCAAGTCTTGTAGAAAGACTTTTCTGAAGCACACTATAAAGTTTACTTTCAATGATCTGCTAAACAGACAGAATTTTACTTTTACTAATATAGACAGTAAGAGAGAAGAGATTGTTACCCCTTTTTTTTAAACTACTAAATTAAGTAAGCAGAAACAAAATCAACATGGGGTCTTTGCAGAACCTTAATAATACAGATATTGTTAGAAGTTCTAATTGTTTCCAAAATCTGCAATTATGAGTAAATTGTCAAGCGAATACTAGGCAATGTAAATACATCATCTGAAAAGTTAATTGAACTAGACATTTATGAAGGGAGATCTCACACAGCTTATATAAAGTAGTGTGTTTTTGGTCTTTAAGAGAAATCGCTTTCTAGCTATTTTTGGAAGGACCCAGATTTGATTTTGACTATTTAATTTATAAAATATTCTATTCTTATAAAATGATTACTATTGCAATATGATTTCTCACACTTCCTTAGGAGATGAATAGATAGATTCTTTTTCCTTTTAAATCAATTTAACGACTAGGGCTTTCAGGAATCTAACTCCAACTCATCTTTGAGTAAATTTAACAACTATGATTTTCCAGGAATTGATTTGTCAAACCTAAAATATTGTCTGCGTTTTTAGATAGCCATAAAAGTGTGGTCTTTTGAAAGACTGACCACCCAAAACTTGTCCCCCTTCCGGTTGGTGGAACATAAGTGAGTGGAAAGGGGTGATGGGTCCAACAGCCAGTATTCATATGAAGCAGTCAGTGAAGCAACCAGGCAGTGAGTGTGCAGGGGTTCATGTTCCATGGCCGTAACATAGTGAGAAGTCAGTTAGAAGAAGTTTATTTTCTAATAGAAAAAGAAAGACGTTGCAGATTAAGTAAGAAATTTTTTTTTTGCTACTCCCCAACCCAACAAGAGTCTTGAAAAGTATTTGTCATTATCGTTTTGTTGACAGTGATCACAGCTTTAGTTCTTAAGATGAATCTGTTGAACATAGCAAGTGCTGGTGTATTTGCAAACAGCCGACCTTGAATGTCATCACAGCTGGTGTAGTGATATGCAGAATTGCATTACCACATTATGCATAATCATTTTCTGGGAATCAAGTGATAGAAAGCCTCTTCAGATCTTCAGTATTTTTCTTAGTTTTTACAAACCAGGTGATGAAGTAATTTTACAACATCTAGCCTTTCTGGATTGACAGTTTGATCCGTCATTATATCATTGCATTCATTAATTTTACTTTTCATATCTTTCTAATAGTGATTTGAGTCTTGGAATTACCATCTATATGGAATTTGAATACCCTCCCCGCATCCTTGACCTTTTCAGAATGCTTACAGCCACATAACATTAAACACTGGTTCCAGTACAATCACCGAAGTTAAGCAACATTAAGCTTGGTCAGTGCCCAGATGGGTAACTACTTGGGAATACAAGGTGCTGTAAGCTTGGATGTGCAGGTGATGTAATGGATAATGACTCAGAATTGTTAATCAGAGAGAGAAGTTTCAATTCTAGTTTGGTTTGTTATGTTTACTTATGTGCAAATACCCTTGAGAATGGTATGTGTCAACCTATTCTCCCTCCAGCTATAATTAGTAAGTCTGGTATCACTAAAACCATTACTATCTAAAAAATAAATAACTAAATAAATAATATTGCATACAAAATATTTAGATTAAATAGCCCATAGAGGTGTTGATATGCCACTAAACGAAACCAATCAAGCAACTTTTTTATAACAATTGACAAACCAATGCCAGACATGTCACACAAAATGCACTGAACTATGATCCAGTTTTTTTCAGCAGTTTAATATTCTCCTAATATTGATACTGATAAGTGTTTATGCTTAACCACATCATTGAAATTTGAATCTCACTTAAGGTTCAAATATAAAACAAGTTTCAAAATTGCAGAAAATTGAAAAATCATTAAAAATGATACCTGTATTAGAAATTTCCAATGCTTTTTTAATATTTTACAAGCATACAAAATCATAAACAACCACAATTCATTGATGAATATCTAACTCTTTCCAGATGAACTAACGAGGTTTACCCAGTCAAACGTGTGGTTGTCAACAACTAAATCTAATAGTAACAAATGGCTATAGAGGGAGTATACACTATTGAATTAGCAACTTTGTTTTGGAGGTATTTTTTTTTTTAACCAATAGATGATCAAACTTTCATACCATAACAATTAGTAATAGAATTATGAATAACCAGGCCTTACAAGCCATTCTTGATTTTGATGACAATTTTGAAATTGAGGAAATAGATAAATTGTTTTGAAGCTGACCGACTTCAACAGTACATATTTTGCATTAATTGATAATTTTATTGCATTCAGTTTCCATGCAAATGATCTAAACCAAATATTCATAAGTAAAAATGGCTCCATTGAATTTAAATTCTATAGTACATTTCAGGTTGATCATGATCACAGAAGTCAAATCAAACTGTGGCCATTGCCACCTCATACAACGATTTTTTTTTGATGATGAAGAGGTATGTTGTCACCTCAGTCAAAATGTTGCTGGCAAAAATGGCAGACCACAGGATGAAATTCTAGGTTGGTATCACCCAGTTGTAACTTCACCAAAATGACCAACTTCACCAAATTGACTCACTTGGCAACAATTAACAAGGTTTTGATAGTGTCATAATAAATACAAGCTTCTTGGTGCTGCAACTCTTAATTTCTACTTAATCTGGGCTTAGGCAACTAGCTGGACCTGATTTAATCAATTTCTTTCAGCATCAATCTTCAAGATCAGACTTCAGTGATTTTTCTCAGGAACTAACTTCTGGATCTGAATACTTCATAGCAACTGGCTTTCAGCCTCTTGGCCGCAGTTTCCCCACAACTCACTTCACCATCACTGCCCATATGAATATATGGAGGTTTTCAGAATTAACTCCACCATCAAGTAATTCAATCTGATTGATTCACCTAACCATATTGCCCCTTTTTGGACTGTTTCCCCCCTTTTCCAATAGTTTATCCTATTGGTTAAAACTAGCACATGACAAGAAAGAGAAAGTCCTTTCTCTAATTGCATAATCAAAACTTCATATTTGCACACATGCTATTATTCTAGGATTTCAATCTCTAAAAATATTTCCCATATATTTACTTGTCACTCTAATCTGATTTAAAGTCATTTTCCTCAACAGTTCTTGTCAAAACAACATCTGGCTTTGTTTTTTGCCATCTCTTCAATATCTACTTTTAATAACCCAATCCTACCCTCATGGCTTTGTCGTTCACTTTGTCATTTTAAGTATCAATAAAATGATTTTTACTTACATTATTTGAACTATTATCCTCATCTTCATTGCCATATTCACAATGTTTCAGCTGTTGTACACTCTTGCCTACTTCAGATGATTGGAATTTCAAACAGAAACCTTTATTTCGTCCACGAGTGTAGATTGTTCTAGTTCCACATGCCAGGCTTCTCCCGGATGTCTCAGTTATTTCCCTTTAAATCAACTTTCCAAGTTTTGGTTCACCACTGCATTTGTCCTTGAGGAAATAAAGGGTTCAGTTCAAAATTCCAATCACCTGAAGAAGGCTGGAGCATATAAAAGCTGAAATGTTGTGAATATGGAAATGAAGAATAATGCAAATAATGCAAGTAATCATAATACCTCATCTCAGAGATATAGACAGAAAATGATTTTTATCTGATTCTCAAACAACTTCCTTTCACTGAAAAAAAAAAAACAAAAAATTTTTTTATTCAGTACTTTACTGAATCTTTGCCAACTTCTAAAATCCACAATCTCATAAAATTGCCACAATTTAAATTACCTTAATTTACAAATTCAGTCTGGAAATAAAAAAAATTTTTTAAAGTGTATTTACAATACAAATTGAAGTAATTTTTTTTTTTAAAGTTCTTACCTATGTGAGTCTGGATGACTGAACACTACACACAAGACATCCGCACTTGATTCATAAAGTTCAGGTTTGTGTAACAAGTCAAATGTTTGAATAATGAGCTGTTCTGATTCATTTAATGGGATACCAAATTCCACCCAGGAGTTCATGCATGTCAGAACCTCTAGCTGTACATCTGTGGGTGATGCTGAGATCAGGCGCTGTAAGAGCGCAATTACTGAAATGTAAAAAAAAAAAAGAAAAAATGATTCCTATCTTAATTATATAACACCACGTGTTACCATTTATAGCATGAAAAGTTAATATAAAAATGACTTTTTCTTGAAAAATAGTCATTTTTATTACTAATATGATAGAATGTCATAACTCAACTTTTAGTCTAAGTTTGAGGAAAATCATTAGTATATCCAACATTCAAACACTCAAATCTTTTATGTATTGTTGCTGCTGATGTTTTGTTGGACAAGCCATTCTTCAGCCTTCATCAGGTGT